AGAGTATATACTTTACCCCATTAGATGCAAGGCACCAGAATGGTTATTCTCAGAGGCTAGGCTGTGCGCTGTGTGTGTAAAAGTTCAATATTATATGCATTTATTTTTGAAACCAAAGCTCCTATTTCTGTAATGCAAAGTAAAGTTTGACTAAAAGCTTTGGAGTTGATTTTTCCTGCTCTTTACTCTCATGTAGTCCCATCAGTATCTCTTACTGACTCCGTGTCCTGTATTTGTTTTACAGTGGCCTATTTCTCTCCATCTGGCCGGCAGCCAGTATAAGCCAGTTCTTGTTAATCCCAGCTTAAAACCCTCTAGTGCTGTACTGTCCGATAAGGTAGCCACCAGTCACATGTGGCTATGCAAATTAAAGTTAGTTAAAAATTAAGTAAAATGAAGAATTTAGTTCTTTAGTCACAGTAGCCGTATTTTAAATGTTTAATAGCCACAGTGGCTAGTGACTTCCATATTGGATAGTACAGAATAGATGATTTCCATCATCACAGAATGTTGTCAGGGACAGGGCTGCTTTCCCAGTTGCATTTAAGATGAATTCCAAGACCTTCTGATGTTCCTCAAGATCTCAGCTCATCTATCTAATGGAGCCCTTACTACTCTTCCAGCCTCACTTCTGTTCCCCACCCACCTGACAGTTCTTGAACTGTGAAGCTCAGAGCCTTTGCATGTACTGTTCTCCTTGCTTGGACACCTACCCATACTATTCACTGGACTAATGACCGATTTTCAGGATCTTAGCTTAACTATCACTTCTAAGAAACCTGCCTTCCTCCTACAGTTTAGGTTATAGTCTCATTTTACATGCTTCCTTAAACCCTCTACTTTTTCTTCTTACGAAGGAAAATCTGTTAACTATAATACATGTGTGATTGTTTATTTAATGTTCATTTCCCTAATAGACAGTAAACTTCTCAAAGATGGGTTGTCCTTTCTCAGTCAACTCCCCTGTCCCCCCAGTGCCTAGCACAGGATAGATCAGTGATGGTGAACCTGTGACATGTGTGTCAGAGGTGATACGCGAACTCATTTTTTTGGTTGATTTTTCTTTGTTAAATGGCATTTAAATATATAAAATGAATATCTAAAAATAAATCTTTGTTTTACTATGGTTGCAAATATTAAAAAATTTCTATATGTGACACGGCACCAGAGTTAAGTTAGGGTTTTTCAAAATGCTGACACGCCGAGCTCAAAAGGTTCGCCATCACTGGGATAGATGCTATGTAAATATTAAAATTGGAGTATTCTGAGGTACCTGTGTGTTGAATGAGTGTGAAAATTTCATCAAAAGAGGCATCGATTTAAAACCAGTCAAGAGACCCTGCCTGGTAGACCATTATTTATTATATTTACTTTTTGCTGGGAATATGAGTTTTAGGATGTAAATTTTACAAGGCCATTTCAGAGCCGGACTTGTCAACTGGTTTTAGCATCACCAACTTGACTTTGCTTTTCTGTGTGGTTGGGGGTTAATGAGACTATAAATTGGGGCAGAATAATTTAAAGGTGTTGGATGAAGGAGAGAGGGTGGACTGGGACAGCCCTAGGTTTATGACAGGCTGGTGAAACAGCTGAGTTGGTGTGGCAGGATGATCTGTTTTTTCTTGTTCTATTTTGATACCCAAGTAGAAAAGTCTTAGGCCTAATGCTTCAGACTTTTCCTGAGGCCTTTTCAAAGATTTTGAGTAAGTTTCTTAAGAAAATCCCTACTCTTCTCCTCCTGCGTTTGTCTCCTTCCCTCCAAGAAAAAAAAGAAAGAAAGAAAAACAATGAAAACACATTGGAGTCCCCAGAATGAGTCTGACTTTGGATTCTTATCCTGGCTGACTTCCTGTGGGCAGTAAGGAGTCAGCTTTGAGAATTGTTTTCTCAGGTCTCAGTTTGGAACTGTCTCTCCCCCTAGCATTCCAGAGTTGATCTTGGATCACTGACTGCATTTAGGGTCTTTTGAAAGGATTTTATTTAAAAAAAGAAAACCACCAAAAACCAAAAATGGAAACTAATTTGCTTTCAAGATTTTCAAGTAGTACCCAGATCAGGTATGAAGGTAAAGCCCTCTGCTGCCCATTTCAGCTGCTCCCGAGCCCACTCCTGTTGGTAGTTTTTGCTCTATTCCTATAAGTTAGTTACACAATTTCATGCTCATACCCACAATGACGAATAAAAACCACAATGACCTGGATCTGTTTTCCTTCAAATGTGCTTGTTTCAAAGTCTGCTTGGTGCATCTGTATTTTTCTTGCTTCTGCTTCCTTGGGTGTAGCTAGGCAGCCCAAGACACCTCCCAACAGCTGGACGTTGAGTTCTCTTAGGGATGTACTGAAACTGCTGAAAGCCCATGTGGCAGCTGTGAAACCTGCAGCTGTGAAACCGTCTCTATTTATCTTTTAGTTTTTGCATCGTTATCAAAACCGAAAGGGCAGGGGAGTGAGTGCTCAGTGCTGGGCAGAATGTCACATACTGTAGTGATTTGACTGGGTGCTGGCCTTTGGCCTCTGTCTTGGCCCTTCAGAATGTAGTTGAACCAGTCAGGCCATCTGGGTTTGATTCCAGCTCTACCACTTTCTGTGTGACCATGGTAAGTAGCTTAACCTCTCTTTGCCTCATTTCCCCTATATGTCAAATGATGATACAATCATACCTATTTCATGGGGCTTCTTGTAAGAAGAAAATGACTCGGTGATGTAAAGTCTGTAGTTGGTGCTCAAGCGTATTGTCATTTTGTTAAATTATTATCACTTGCATTTAATAATTTCATCTTATAAATAGACCACCCAGTTGTTAAAAAAAATGGACTCAACAATGGAGCCTTCTGTGTTCTAAGGCAGAGGTAAAGAGCATTCTTCCCTATAATGAGAATGTAACTGGCAAATCTTACTTAGAAGTGAAAAGCCTTCTGGGTTGGCAATTCACTTTCCCCTATGACGTGATGGTACCAAGAAAAAGCAGAAATATAAGCACATGAAAACGTGATGTTTGCCCACATAACAGTAAGAGCTCACTCTTGGTTTCTAGAGGAGTATAACACCCCCCTCCCCAATTCTGACGTGAATAATTTTCATTATAGTTGTAAGCACAGAGAAAATATTTTGTGTTTGAATTCTTCAGTTAAGCCCTTAAAGAATCTTGATTTGATACCATTGATTAAATGTTATTTAAAATAGTAAATAAAACGGCATGATATTGGTATAAAAACAGGTATATAGATCAATGGAACAGAATAGAAAGCCCAGAAATAAACCCATGCCTATAGGGTCAATTAATGTATGACAAAGGAGCCAAGATATACACTGGGGGGAAGGATAGTCTCTTCAATAAATGATGCTGGGAAAACTGGACAGCTACATGCAAAAGAATGAAACTCAACCACTCTCTTACACCATACACAAAAATTAACTCAAAATGGATTAAAGTCTTCAATATAAAAGCTGAAACCATAAAATTCCTAGAAGGAAACAGCCAGTAAGCTTCTTTACGTATATCTTGGTGATGAGCATTTGAACCTGATACCAGAAAGGAAAGCAACAAAAGCAAATAAATCAATCAGTGGAACTAGATCATGCTACAAAGGGTCTGTACAGCAAAGAAAACCATCAACGACCTTCTGAATGGGAGAAAATATTTGCAAATCATATATCTGATAAGGGGCAAATATCCAAAATGTATAAAGAACTCATACAACTCAAAGCAGAAAAAACAAATAATCTGATTAAAAATGGACAGACGATCTGAATTGATATTTTTTCCAAAGAAGACATATGGACAGTTACATGAAAAGATGCTCAACAGGGAAATGCAAATCAAAACCACAGTTATCACCTGTTAGAATGGCTATTATCAAAAAGACAAGAAATAACGTGTTGGTGAGCACATAGAGAAAAAGGAACCCTCGTGCACTGTTGGTGGGAATATAAATTGGTGCCGCCACTATGAAAAACAGTATGGAGGGTCCTCAAAAAATTAAAATAAACTACCATATGATCCAGCAATTCCACTTTTGATTATTTATCCAAAGAAAACAAAAACACCAACTTGAAAAGGTGTATGCATCCCCCTGTTCATTGCAGTTATTTATAGTAGCCAAGAGAGAAACAGCCTAAATGTCCATCAATGGATGAATGGATAAAGAATACTATTCAGCTATAAAAAAGAAGGAAATCTTGAAGTTTGCAACATGGCCTCAGAGTGAAGTAAATCAGACAGAGAAAAACAAATACTATATAATCTCTCTTAGATGTGGAATCTAAAATCAACCAACCAACCACAAACCAACCCAAGCTTATAGAAAACAAATTGGTAGTTGCCAGAGGTGGGGGTGGGGATTGGGAAAAATGGATGAAGGGGGTATGAATTTATAAAAAGTTAAATGTAGACTAGCCACATGGGGCCAGTGGCTTCTATATTGGACAGCACAGATCTAGAGCAATTTGCGGGGGGGGGGGGGGGGTTCTATTGAGCTAAGCTCACTCTGTGCATAACTTACAGTTACACTATCTCATTTAACCCTTAAATCAGCCCTGTTTTGCTGACGAAAAAAGTAAAGCTCAGAGGGGTCAGGGAATGTGCCCATAGTTTCACAGCTAGGAAATGGCTGAGTGGGAATCATGTGGGATGCTGTTACCACTATGAGATGAAGCTGAAGCACAGGCCGGACCAGGTTAAAGACTTTGGATATCAGAGAGTTTCCTCCCCAGTTGACCAACTAAAAAGTAGAGAACTGTACTCCACTGCCAAGGACACTGATGTTGGGAAGCACATACCTGGCCCCATCTGGGTGTCATGGAACTCACAGGCTCCCCATCACTGAGTTCTAGCAACCAGACCTCTCAAGGGGCTGAAGGGTCAACATCAGGACTTTAGCCCAGTGAGTACCAAATAGCTCACCAGTGAATTTCGGTCAGACAGAAGGTTCTAGAGCAAAACCAAGGCAGTGTTTTGGAAGGCACAGTGGGGGAAGCCCATTGGGGGCTCACTGGAGAATTTGGGGGTTTGCTGCTCAGATTTGCTTAGTCTCACTGATTGCTCAGCCTGCAATAGGGCTCCATCTAGTGAGGTTTCAATAATATGTCCTCCATGTTTATTTGTTTTTATATTTTTGTGTTTTTTTTGTTACGTTTGTTTTTTGTGTGTCCTCCATATTTAGAAGACATAAGATCCTATAGCTTGTATCTGGAAATCTTTCCTGGAAAAATTAGGACCATAAACAGGACCTGAGTCTATGGAAATGTGGAGGGGCGTTTGTTAGAGCTAAACCCAGAATGGAGATGGTGGGTCTGAGTTTCCCACAAGAAAGGCCCCCATCCAGTGAGGCTGCCTTTGAGGGAGGCTGCTGAGAATGAGACAATTGGTGACGACCAGAATGCCTTCCCACTCGCCAGTGGGAAAAGATGATCACAGTGACAAGACCAAGGAGGGAAAGAATGAGAGTAGCTGAGAATCCTGCATCCAGGAGAATCCGGAAGGACAAGTTAGTGCCTCCAGTAAGTACCTGAGGCGTTGTCAACAAGAGATATCATTGCAGAAATAAGCAAGGGGGAAACAGGACCAGACATGTTCATAGGTTTTAAGAATATGCAAGCTGATGACAATGGCTCCCACCCCCTAACTCCCCTCCCCCACTTTGAGATGCCCGCAGGCAGCTTGTGAGGTATCAAGAAGGACCTGTGCAGAAATGTTGGGTGCCTAGAGTTGAGGTCCACCATGAGGCCTGTGGAGCACATGCTTAATCGGATTAATAAGTGAGTGAACCAAGAGCAGCATTAGAAGCAACTTGAATAAAGGGTGGGGCTTATTATGCATAGTGTAGACAACTAAAAAAATCACTATGGTCTGATTATTAAGGCGGTACTGTGTAGAGCAATTGGAAATTGGGAAAATTAAAACCCTGCCTAATTTTAATGGTGACTTCACATTTTGGCATGTTTTCAATACATTATATGGTTTTAAAATTTTATTTGGGATTATACATCCTTTTCTGTTGCTTGGCTTTTTATTTACTAACAGCCTATCATTAAATGTTCTTTTGCAACATGATTTTAAAAATAACTGCATGATATTATACCAGACGGATATCCTACAAACTGACTCTAATCCATTACATGTTATGGAATATTCAGGGTTATTTCCAGTTTTCACTGTGGCAAACACCCACAGGCCTAAATCTATCCATGAGATAGTATATTTCTCTGGAAGCAGAAAATGACAGCACCCAACGCTTGGGGTCATTCTTTTAATTATTTTCCAATGTTACTTTGTTTTAATTTTTCATTTCTTGCTCACTAGTGAGGGTGATCCTGTTTATTTAGCCATTACTTGTATTCCTTGTGAATTGTCTGTTTAGGACAGTGATGGCGAACCTTTTGAGCTCGGCGTGTCAGCATTTTGAAAAACCCTAACTTAACTCTGGTGCCGTGTCACATAGAGAAATTTTTTGATATTTGCAACCATAGTAAAACAAAAACTTATATTTTTAATATTTATTTTATATATTTAAATGCCATTTAACAAAGGCAAATCAACCAAAAAAAGAGTTCACGTGTCACCTCTGACACGTGTCATAGGTTCGCAATCACTGGTTTAGGACCTCACACATTTTGTTCAGGGCGTTGGTCTTTTCTTGGGGTGGAAAGGTATTTACAAAAGAGGGCTATTGTCAGTTGTTAATAGCGATTTCCTTTTTCTAGTCCAACATGGCAAGTTTAAAAAATATGTATGGGACTTATGGCTGACATTATTTTGAAAGAGAAACATGGTTTTATTCTCTAGTCAATCAACTCTTTAACTGTTTTCATGTTCAAAGTCATCTGTGTGTCAATGTGGGAGCCATAGGATCAAGAGATTATTTAATGAAAAATGTCGGTGGAATTTCGCCTTCTGACTGTTTATGAATCATGTGCCTCATTCAGCTACAGCTCTGCCTGAGGAATGCAGCTCAGTTAAAAAACCCCATTTCCAATACGCTCAGGCGGATTTAAAATAAGCCATCACTTTATCTGCGTGCGTCTGCTTTCCCTGATCCGAAATTCCTCATCAAGATTTGAAACTAGCCCTGGTCAGTGTGGCTCATTTGGTTGAAATGTCCCATGCACTGAAGGGTTTCGGATTCGATTCCCGGTCAGGGCACATAACAAGGTTGTAGGTTCTGTCCTCAGTTGGGGCATGTGTGGGAGGGAGGCAACCGATCAATGTTTTTCTGTCCCTCTCCCTCTCCCTTCATCTCTCTCTAGAATCAGTGAAAGCATATCCTCAGGTGAGGATAAAAAAAAAAGATTTGAAACAATAAAAATAAGAATTATTATGTGTCTAAGAATTGTGTTGGTCAGTAAGACCCCCAATGGATTGTACATCCCCACAGGTACATGGCATTTGCAAACACCTGAATCAGCCTTATATTTAAGACCTCCCCCACTGCCTTCCCTTTCCTGCTGCTATTTTGGGAGGAGGAAATCCTAAAGGCTCTCTGCTTTCCCCCTCCCCCCCTCCCCCTACCTCCTCGAGGCTCTCCAAGCTGCTCTCTTGAGGCCCATCATGTGGACAGGGCTGCAAGCACTTCTCCGGTTACCCAGGCCACGCCAGAGAGAATCAGGAAGTGAGAGTCGACCTCTGGTTCTGGCATTCAAATCTGTTACACACAAATATTAAAGTACCCATGATATGCTAGGCCATAGGGGCACAAAATGAATAACACAGAAAGTCACGACTTGAGAGAACCATGTGCTGCTTGCGAGGCGCAGGTGAGTAAGCAGGCGAAGGCAAAATCAGGCACAAATCTCAGACACGAGTGCTCTGCCACGTATTTTATAGTGTTTTAGGCAGGGTGGGGGACGGGAGAGGCAGTGATGGTGGCCCTGTGACTTAGTCCCTTGTGTATTGTGGCTTTCTGCACTGCACCTCCTCCTCCCCTTTCTGAGAAGGACCATCAGCTGAGTTTTGCTTGTACCATCAGGTGATGTGGCATAGTGGTCAAGAGCAGAAGCCTGAATTTGGGGTCTGAACTGGGAAATGCCATTAGCAGATCTTAAGGGAAGTGGCGTGAACCTCTTTGAGAATTGTTCCCTCATCTGAACAGTGGGGACAGTGCATCCTTATGGGCATAGTGATGGTAATGAGAGCATAATAATCGTGCCAGTTATAGGAACCGCTGCCACTTATTGAGCCAAACTACCTACCGGGTTTATGCTGTTGGGCATCTGGAAGCAGCCTCCTTGCTCAGCGCAGAGCTGATCATTAACACAGGCTAAATGGAATTGTTCTGGCCTCTGCCCCTGAGGTCAGAAAAGAACTGAGGAAGAAGTGACCTAGGCAGACTCTCTGGTCCCATGTTGGCGAGAAGTGTTGTCAGGGTGTGCCCTCTACAGGTGGGTGGAGCCAGAACTAACAAACTGCCTCTCCAGACTCTCAGCAGTGCAGATGGGAAGGGGACCGAGGCCCATGCAGGCCTGGCAGCCAGCCCTTTCCTATGTTTCCTCACAGGATGGACCCAGCAACTTATGCTGAGTTGTTGAAAGAATCCGGCAACCAAGTTTTTAAGAATGGGAACTTCTCTTTGGCCATCAGAAAGTACGATGAAGCCATCCAGGTTCTTCTGCAGTTATACCAGTGGGGGTAAGTGTTTGTATTTTCTTCCCACCTTTTTTTTTTAAATATATTTTATTGATTCTTTACAGAGAGGAAGGGAGAGAGACAGAGAGCTAGAAACATCGATCAGCTGCCTCCTGCACATCTCCTACTGGGGATGTGCCCACAACCCAGGTACATGCCCTTGACCGGAATCGAACCTGGGACCTTTCAGTCCGCAGGCCGACACTCTATCCACTGAGCCAAACCGGTTTCGGTTTCTTCCCACCTTTTTTAAGTAAAAGGAAACTCAGTTGCTTAAGTTTTCTTGTCATTTATCACACTGCCTAGTTTCTGTTTTCTTCTTGCTCACTTCCTGTTGATCTTCTCTACATAGTCAGCCCAGGAACTGAACAGAATACACTAGATCAGTGGTTCTCAACCTGTGGATCTCGACCCCTTTGGGGGTCGAATGACCCTTTCACAGGGGTCGCCTAAGACCATTGGAAAACACATATATAATTACATATTGTTTTCATATTTAATCACTATGCTTTAATTATGTTCAATTTTTAACAATGAAAATACATCCTGCATATCAGATATTTACATTATGATTCATAACAGTAGCAAAATTATAGTTATGAAGTAGCAATGAAAATAATTTTATGGTTGGGGGTCACCACAACATGAGGAACTGTATTAAAGGATCGCAGCATTAGGAAGGTTGAGAACCACTGTACTAGAGTAAGAAGGGAAATGGAAAGTGAAACTTGAGGGACTATTGATAAACATTACAAAGCTTTCCCTTCTGTCTGATTATGGGATCAGAGTTCCTGGATTGAGAGAAGTCTCCAAACTTCTCAGTTGTCATTCGTTTCATCTTCTGGAGTACCTATGCCATATACCCCCTGGCCATAGTGCTCACCACACAGGAATGCGGCTCACCTCTCTACCTGCCCCTTCACTTCTAGTAGACCTGTTCCCAAACATTTTCATATTATGATTATGCTTAAAGTCATAGAGGACCCAAAGAGCTTTTGTTTATGTAGGTTTTTAGTTGTCAATATGTAGGTTTTAAGTCTGTATCAGAACTTAAAAACTAAGAGAAATTTAAAGTTTATATTTATTAATCTAAATAAAAATATCAATAAGAAATCCATTACATGTTAATATAAATAAAATATTTTTAAAGAAAAATAACTATATTTTCCAAAGCAAACAATTTGGTGAGAAGACTGGCACATTTTACATTTTCACAAATCCTTTTAATGTCTGTCTTAGTAGTAGACATCTGGCTTCTCACATCTGCTTCTACAGTCAATCTGTTTTGATAGCACACGTCATGTAGCCTCTGAACATCCCCTGAACACGTGAGAGAATGAGTGTGTAAAGGTACAAAATGTCTTAGCATTATTATTGTATAAGTTTCCTGTTGCTGCTGTAACAAGTTACTATAAACTTAGTGGCTTCACACAATACAAATTTATTATCTTACAATTCTGGAGGTCAGAAGTCCGAAATGAGTCTTAACAAGGCTAAAATCAAGGTGTCAGAGGAGAATCCATTTCCTTGCCTTTTTGAACTTTGAGCGACTGCCCGTTTTCCTTGGCTTGTGGCCCCTTTCTCCATCTTCAAAGCATATTATTTCAATCTGCATCTGTCATCACATCACCTTCTCCTCTGCCTGGTTTCATTCTCTCTCTCATCCTTATGTTTGTGATTGTATATAATCTGGGACAAACTCTTCTCAAGATTCATAAATTAAATACATCTGCTTTTGCCATAAAAGGTAACATTGTTGGGGGACCATTATTCAGTCTACTACAGTTTGACCTTGTGGATTAACTTAAATGGTCTTGGGGAACCCCTTCCCCCCTGAGGTTCCCAGATCATATTTTGGGAACAGCCATAGCAGAAGAAGCAAGAGCTTGGCATTTGTGGGTACATACAACCTAAACTTGTACTTAGAAATGACACTGAATTAAATTACTGAAACATGGCTCCTAACCCTACCTCTCTATCACCATAGTATTGCACTCTAGCTGGACTTGGGTTGAGTGTAATTGGTTTGGGCCTGTATTTCTGTTATTCTGCCCCTTCCTGAGTCAGATCAGAACTGTCAGAGCTGGGCCTAGAGCTCCTCATTCAGGGCAAAACATCCGGCTTTCTTAAAGAGGAAGCATTGGAAAGTGGTTATGATCACAGACTGACCCCACACTGTGAGTGCTCAAATCTTAGCTCCACCACTTACTGGCTGTGTGACTGCTAATGGGACTTCTGCCCGGACCCTCACATGTTGCCTTTCATGGACCTTCCTGACACTGTCTTTTGCCCGTCACTTGCTGCCTGTCTTCCTGCTGATATAGGGATTTAGGTGCATGGGGTTTTCAGAGCAAGTGCTCTCAGGAGATGGGGACTGAGGGAAGCAGGATGGGGCAGGGGAAGGCTCCAGGCAGGGATATTGTCTCACCTGGAGTCCCCTTCAGCCTGATCTCCAGTGAACTTGGGAGGATGAGTTGTACTGCAGAGCTGGTCCCACTTTGGGACAAGGGGCTGACCCTTTGATTCCCATGTTAGTCCATCATTGGTTGTAGGCTGTCCAGCCCCTGGGAGTTGTCCTAGGGAGGGAGGCGGTATTAGTCAGCGTGGACTGTCATAACAAAATACCATAGACTGGCGGTTTAACCAACAGGAATTTATTTCTCACAGTTCTGGAGCCTGGGATCCTGCTGGCCAGTACGGTGCCTGGTAAGAACTCTTTTCCTGGTTTGCAGACGGACACCTTCTCACTGTGTCCTCATATGGTACAGAGAGAGCAAGGAAGCTCTCTGGTGTTTCTTGTTATAAGGCAACTAACCCCATCTCGAGGGCTCCACTCTCACCACCTCATCTAAACCTAATCACCTCCCCAAAGCCCCATCTCCAAACACCATCACATTGGGGACTAGGGCTTCACCATATGAATTGGGGGTTGGGGCACACAAATCAGACCCTAGGAGGAGTATAACTTCCTGGAGCAGATGCTCCCATTAGGCTGAGGGTAAATCTCTGGAGCCCCTAGCTGCAGCCAACACTCACTGCACTGTCCAATAGGACTTTCTGTGACCATGAAGACGATCTTTAATATAGAAGGTGACTACTGAGTACTGAAATGTGGCAAATACAACGAAGGAACTGAATTTTACATTTTGTTTAATTCATTTAAATTTAAATAGCTACATGTGGATAGTAGCTCCTCTATTGGGCAGTGCAGATTAGCCACATGGTGTGTGGGCCTCGTTTGTACTCTGGGTCCTGCCATGATAGAATAGTGCTTGACCTGGGTCTCTCCCAGTGGGTCCGTGGGGATGCTTTGGTCACGTGTTCTGAACAGCCCTTCCTGTGATAAGTTCTGCCTCCAGTCAGGAGGAGCATGCATGTGGAGCGGTTCACACCGTGTCTGGATTCTGCTCACGCTCAGTGGGAAACTCCCATCCTCTCCATCCTTAGGAACAGTCTCTAAAAAATGAAGAGACCTGTGGGGATCAGTAGGAAATGGAACCAAGGTGTTGAGAACATTTGTCATTAAAAGCTGGGAGCAGAGGATTTGGAAGTGAGGAAGGACAGATTGTACCTTGCAAGTGCCCCAGGATTTCTAGGGGCCTACAAGGGTCAGCTCTGATAGCCATACCTGGCACATTTCCTGCCGAAACCCCATGGGCGTGACAGCAGTCAGGATCAGAGTGATGGTCTTTAAGGATTGTTTTCTGTATTTGCAGGAAGATAGTTTTACGGATCTCCAGCTTGTTCTTTCTCACAGGGTTCCCCCCAGGGACTTGGCTGTGCTCCTGTGCAACAAGTCCAATGCCTTTTACAACCTTGGGAAATGGAACGAGGCATTTGTGGCTGCCAAGGAGTGTCTCCAGTGGGATCCAACCTACGTGAAGGTATGGTGCAAGGGACACTGGGACAGCTGCTGCTTCCTTCCTCTTAGCCTGCCTCCTCCCCTTCCTTCTAAAATGTGGGTACTTCTCATTCAACTCCCTTTGCACTTCACGCAGGTGCTCATGGGGCACGTGAGTGGTACCCAGAGAAGGGCGGAACTAATGATGGCCAAGTGTTGAAATGCCCTTGTAGGGGAGAGCAGAGCTGGGCTTTTGGTGGATGGAGTGTAGTGGAGATCCTCTGAGCTCATTTTGTCCTAAAGTAGTGACACCAAATTCATAGTCTGTTCATGTTCTTTGCTGTTTACAGGTTTCATGATAGCAAAGCTTTACTTCAGATGCAAGCTAGTGTACCACATGACACCGATTCTTTTATATATATACTAGAGGCCCGGTGCACGAAAATTGTGCACTGGGGGTGGGGCGGGTCCCTCAGCCCGGCCTGTGCCCTCTCACAGTCTGGGAGCCCTCAGTCTGAGAGCCCTCAGGGGATGTCTGACTGATGGCTTAGGCCCTCCCCTTCTGCAGGGAGTGGGCCTAAGCTGGCAGTTGGACATCCTTAGCGCTGCCATGGAGGAGGGAGAGGCTCCTGCCACTGCTGCTGCACTCGCCAGCTATGAGCCTGGCTTCTGGCTGAGCGGCACTCCCCCTGTGGGAGCGCACTGACCACCAGGGGTAGCTCCTGCGTTGAGCGTCTGCCCCTGATGGTTAGTGCGTGTCATAGTGACCGGTTGTTCCGCAGTTTGGTCTATTTGCATATTAGCCTTTTATTGTATAGGATATTTTATTGGTTTCAGAGAGGAAGGGAGAGGAAGGGAGAGATAGAAACATCAATGGTGAGAGAGAATTGTTGATCAGCTGTCTCCTGCACGCCCCCTACTGGGGATAGAGCCCTCAACCCAGGCATGTGCCCTGACCGGGAATCGAACTCTGACTTCCTGGTTCATAGGTCAACGCTCAACCACTGAGCCATGCCGGCCCGACGAGATTTTATTTGATGTTACTTTCTATGTGACATGGGGTCCTTCTGAGAAAAGAAGTGAAGACTCCAAAGAAGTGGGTGGGTCGGAGAGTTTATATATCACTTTTAATGAAGCGTGATACATTGTAGAGACATGACAAGACAAAGGACAGGGTTTTAAAGACTTTAGGGTCTGTGAACTGTGGAGAAATAAACATACGGAGAAACTAATGGCAGATAAGGGCTATCAGCGAGGCTTGTTTGTGCAGGCTCATCTCAGTGCCGACTTTCTATCTCCTTCAGGCCATAAAGACTCCCCGGAGAGGGGATTTATGCAGTCCTCATGCCCCATATTTTGGGGTGACATATTCTGATACCCCCTAATCCCTGTGTCCAAAATAAAAAGATGAGACTTAAATCTGAGGAAGTCAGAGAAATGGGAAATTCTGTACCAGCTTGCCTGGTTAGAAAAGAAAACACTTTTTCTGATTGTTCTCTAAGGTTTAGAAGAGCTTTCAAATGAAAGTTAAGACAAATCAAAAAATAATCAGAGATTTGGTGTTAAGTGGAATTATAAATGCCAATGCAGTTGGATGGTCAAAGTGGGGGTTGGGGGGGAGAGAGAGAGAGAGAGAGAGAAAGGAGAGAAAGAGAGGTGAGAGAGAAATATCGATCAGTCGATTGATGGGCTGCTTCCCACATGCACCCTGAGCAGGAATCAAACCCTCCACCTTTTGGTGTACGGGACGACAAGCAAGCCACCCGGCCAGGGCATGGGAGGCCGTTTGCATCACTAATCCTTGTAATTTTCTTCTCTTCTACAGAAATCATTTTTTTTTTTTTGCCAATAATGTGGAGCTTCGTAATTCTCAATGCTGGTGATTACAATTTTTCCCTCTACATCCCAGTGCAGATTGTGTTTACTTCGATTGAAAGGAGCAGGAAACAATTTCTGAGTTACACGACAAGCTCATTCTTTCCCAGAACACTGTAGCCGCGGGATTTTTTTCATTCCTCTCTTCTTGCACAGGCTGTGGTTTGAGTCATGGATAAATAAATGACACATGTAATTGGAAGCAGGCCAGCTTCCTTCTCTCTGTGTCCTACGTCATCGATTTGAAAGTGATTATTTTCTTAGCAGTTAGAAATGACAGAAAAAAATGTTGCACGGGACATCATGTGGCAGTCTGGTGGGCAGTGGCTGTTAGAGATCTGTGTTTACACGGAAGTGAGATTCCAGGGTCCCCGCCAGCCCCCCAATCTTGCTCATCCTCTCAGCAGCGCTTGAGGAGAGACGGCAAGGTTTTCCTTTTTTCGTTCCAGGGATACTACCGCGCTGGTTACTCCTTGCTGCAGTTGCTCCAGCATTACGAAGCTGCTCGCATGTTCTTTGAGGGTCTTCAACTTCTGCAGGGCAGCAGCGATCAGAGCCAGTTTGCTGATTTCCTTGTGGGAGTCTTCACCACTATGGGCAGTAAGTCTGACTTGGGGAAGCGTTCCCTCCCTTCTTCCCTCCCTCTGTCTCCCCTCCCTCCTTCCCTTCCTTTCTTCCTTCCAGTCCTAGTTATTTTATTTGAATTCCTCCTGCAGGACTCAGGCTCCTGGGGAGATGATTACAGGGTGTATTTTGTGGCTGATTTGTGTAGTTTGAATAAAACTGGTTTTCACATTAGAAAGTATTTTGAAAGCTTTGGCGGCTCATGCCTTTGTAAAAATGACTAATTCCTATTGCTATTCATAGAGTTTTCCCGATTTATACTACTACTTGCTTTATGTGTTTTTGTGCTTCCTTATGATTTTTGCATATTTCTCCAATGTGTTCAGAAAATATTCTGGTTTGCTGTGAAAATAACCCGAAAGGGCTGGCAGGGTCCTGTGAAAGCTGTCAGCGGCGTTCAGTGTCGCGGCTGCAATGCTCACTTCATTGGTGGACCCACTTGCTCAGTCTGGGAGTGACGCGTGGGAGGCCTTGAGCATCACCACTAGATTCTTACTGTAATCACCTGGCCCAAGGGGTGGCTTTTGTCAGTGGCCTGGACAGAAAACCAAAAAGCTCAGTGTAGTATACTCCTTACCAGTGACCAAGGGGCTCCTTCTAAAGTCCCGCCAGTAACCAGGCCGTTGTTTTCAAATATTACGCTTGATCCGATTTAAGTTCTCATTGATTTAAGATGAGCCACTAGTTTATGTTCTGCCACTGAGACACGACATTGATTGTAACACATATCCCGATTCTATAGGTGTTAGGGTGTGAATAGCAGCACATGCTAGACTTGGTGGAGTGTGGTTTTTGGCTTTCAGAAGTGGGGAAATCACTGCTGGCCACAGACTCAACTGTTAGGTATCCTACTGTTCCACTGCGATGGTGGGAGAGTGACTTCTGTGGTCTGTGGGTGGAACCTTACAGATTTTGGCACAGAGAGGGGTAAGAGCATGTCAGACAGTGAGTGACGGGGTTAGAAGTGGGCACTGCCGTGTCCCCTAGACAGAGAGGTAGGAAATCTTCAGATTTCCAGCTGGTCACTTCCGCCAGGGCCTGCAGCCTGCATCCCCTTTCAGAACCACATGGCTTGTCCCCTGCCTACACTTCCTCATCGTCTCTGCGTATCCTCCGAAAGTACTTCTCTTGTCAGAGCCCGACTGGCTGCACAACTGTTCTTGGTGACCATCCCTGGAGAAATCGGGGTGGTTTCCCTCTGCCCCCATCTTAGAGGGAGCAGTTAGCGGGACTTCTTGGGGTGATGCAGCCCCAACTTTTCTACCAAGGAGAGTATGCCCATGCCCAGTTTTTAAATTTTGGAAAATATACTTGTGGAAATTTTGTAGCCTTTCATATAATACTAGTACATGGTTATTTTGATATTTATTTTTGGAAATGAATAACTCTGGAAGAGGCGCCATGTTAGTCTGTCTGTCCTATCCCCTTGGATGTTCTTCTCATCCGTGAGTTTGAGAACTGTGGTTTGCAAGGTTGATGGGCCACCAGGTTAGAAGAATGTGTGTTGACTAAAAGAGTTGTTAGATGTGGATTCCAGTCTTGTTTTTGGTCATGAACTAGCAGCATGACATGCCACGAAGCCTGACCTCATTTGTGATAGTGCCTCATCTGTTGGGTGAGAATACTATTTGTCACATGTTTCTTTAAGGAAGTGAATTGTGTAACTTCCCTTAAGCTTCCATTTCCTTCTCCGTAAATGGAGGTAATAGCCACTGCCCTCTTGGTATGTTTGAGGGGTTAAATGTAAACACATGTTGCTGGATTTGGTGACTAGAAGGGCTAAGTGAATGGTGGCTCACATTATGCTGTCTGACTCTTAGGGGATTGATTGTCACCCAAATTGAAAATGATTGCAACTCCATACATCTTTAATTTTTCCTTTGTCTATGTGTGGTCTTAATTAGGGGACCTTTGCCCAAATGTTCTAGACTTTCCTCAAGTTAAAACTTCTAAACGATGGCATTTTTTTTCAGGTGACCCCATTGTTTTGCAAAGTTTCTTGCCCTACTTTGATCACATTTTCACCATTGGATTCTCCACAGAAGTGTGGCAATCGGTAATAGAGAAGTTGGCAAAGAAAGGATTATGGCATGTAAGTAAGAGGAGATGGTGGCTCCCTTGTGGAGAAAGCACCTTCTACATTAACTGGTTTCTTTCTGCTGGCCCCGGGGCATTGTAACTTAGCATTTGTTTATCTTGATGCCAAAATAACTTTTTTCTTTTTTTAAAATATATTTTTATTGATTTCAGAGAGGAAGGGAGGAGAGAGATAGAGTCAATGATGAGAGAGAACCATTGATTGGCTGCCTCCTGCACGCCCCCCACTGGGGACCAAGACCGCAACCCTACCCTGGCATGTGCCCTTGACCAGAATCGAACCTGGGACCCTTCAGTCCGCAGGCCGATGCTCTATCCAACCAGCCAGGGCGCAAAAATAACTTTTTAACTAGAATATCCTTAAAGATAGAAATTCACTGAGATATATTAATTAGCTAGTTAGCTAGCTTCCATTTTTAAATTTTATTTTTTGTTAATCCTCACTTGAGGGTATTTTTCCATTGATTTTTAGGGAGAGTGAAAGAGAGAGGGAAAGACAGAGAGAAACATCAGTGTGAGAGAAACACATTGATTGGTTGCCTCCTGCACAACCCCGACCAGGGCTTGGGCGGGGGAGGAGCCTGCAACCGAGGTACATGCCCTGGACCAGAGTCTCTGATTATCATGGCTCAGGCTGAAAAGCTTGGCAGCTGGCCTAAAAAAAGGAGACAGGTTCAGAGGGTATTTTGTTTTGTTGTTTGTTTGTTTTAAAGCTTAAGGATACTTTGGCTCTAATAACCTATGTGGAGAACATCATTATTCTAATCTTTTATTTTTCTGCCTTCACCAGTCATTTCTCCTTCTGTCAGCGAAAAAAGATCGACTACCAAGAAATATCCACGTCCCAGAGTTATCACTGAAAAGTCTCTTTGAGGTAAGGTGGCTTTTTGAAGGGTATGGTTTTACTTCGGGCTTGGATTTGGGACCTTCTTTTTCAGCTGCCCAACTGCAAATTTGTTATTTATGATAATCGTATGCTTGGGCCACAACAAGTCCAGGTTTTACTGATTCTGAGCTTTATGGGTGAAGGAGTTGAAAGTTTCATGTTGCTACAGTGACTTCCATGGTTGTTCCTGTGTGTTTTCTTTCCCAGAAATATGTCTTCATTGGACTTTATGAGAAAATGGAACAGGTGCCCAAGTTAGTCCAGTGGCTGATCTCCATTGGCGCGAGCATCGAGACGATAGGACCGTACCCTCTGCATGCCCTCATGCGACTCTGTATCCAAGCAAGTGAGTGTTCTCCGGGTAACACCCTCCCAGCTGCCCCCGGGCTCTGAGCTCTGGTGCTCCTCTCAGCTCAGGTGAAAGCAGAATTTAGCCCCTTGAATGGAGACTGTTCAGATGTTTTAAAATTCAATGATTGATTATTCAGAAGCATGAAGGCAGCAGGGTAACAGCATCCTTTTTATTTCTCCCCGGACCTCGTAGGTACAGGAGGCCCGGATTGAAAGGGTCTGTGTTCCTAGACAGGTCCTGCCAGTAGGGTGGAGCCCGGGACCCACAGCCTTGCTGGGCAGAGCTCCCAGGAGAGCTGTGGGGTGTCCTCCCACCGCAATGGCAGATGTGGTCGTTTCCCAGGTTCAGGTTCATTTTCTGTAGCCTAGAGGGCGACTGTGGTGGGGGTAGGATGGGAAGCACTGGCTGTTGCCGACATGGATGGTTGGTGGTTCTTTTAAACTTTAAAGGACTTTAAAATTTCAAGGACTTCTATTTCCATAAACATCTTAAAAATGTTATTGTTAAAACTCTCTCTCTCTCTTTCTCTCTCTCTCTCTCTCTCTCTCTCGCTCTCTCTCTCTCTTTCTCGCTCTCGCTTTCTCTTTCTCTCTTTACACTTTAGATGGGAGCTTGTTTTTCTTTTCCAAGCAGGTGTGGTATCTCTGATGGACATTTACCCATATAATTTTAGAGCCGGCAGGGCCACGAGAACTTGTCTAGGCAGTCTTCCTCTTCTCGGCCATATCATCTCTCAGAATGAGAGAGTGGTGGTGGCCAGAGGCTTGAAGACTTGGGCCCCCATCTTTGCTTTAGCCAGATTTGCCCTGCCATCATTCACTTTATGTATTGAGGAATCTGTATGAGATTTATTCTTACATGGGGATTGTTAGATAAAACACCAAGTAAAGTTTGATTCAGAGCAATCTGATCCATGTTCCCAGCTTCAAAGTAGGAATCTGGAACCCAGAGAAGTGTGCCTCTGGTTTTGAAAGGCACGATTCCTCATCCTGTCTACTCTTTAAGGCGGCTCCTGTGAGAACAGGCAGGTGTCCGTGAGATCAGGTCTTCAAGTTCATCCCTGTTTAGTTTCTGAGAGGAAAACTCTGACGTGTGATAAGTGGTGTTACCGAATTGGCAGAAGTGTGGGGCTTTCCTCCATCCCAGGAGCTATAAGGAAAGGAGTCTGTGAAGAGAATTTAAAATATATGTCCTATGATAGTAATGTAGTCATCTCTTCAGAATACCGACTTGATGGGCGCTTTTAGGCGCCCAGATCCTCTTTATTTTTATTTTGTTAAAAAATATTTTTATTGATTTTAGAGAGGAAGGAAGAGGGAGAGAAGGATAGAAACATCAATGATGAGAGAGAATCATTAACTGAGGATCAAGCCTACAACCCAGGCATGTGCCCTGACCGGGAATTGAACCGTGACCTCCTGGTTCATAGGCTGACGTTCAACCACTGAGCCACGCCGGCCGGGCCCAGATCCTCTTTAGACCATGCTTACCCCCACTTGCTATGAGTGCTGGAGGCTTGGACAGAGAACTGCTCTCTGCCAACAGGCACCACATCCCAGGGACGTTCTCCCTCAACCTCACCTTCCTCCCAGGGGCATCCTGCAGGTCTCAGCTGACTGACGTGAGGTACAGAGGTCAACCTCTGCCTCCAGGTGGGTCAACTCTGCGGTACAGTTCACACTCCAGAGCTCCCCCTGGGGTCAGGCCCGAGTGGATGCAGCTGGGACCACATCTCTGTTTGCCTCCTCCCCCTGTCCTGTGCCCCTCCCTCGGTCTCGAGCTCCCTCTCTAAGTCACATGGCGAAGAATCTATGTCTTAGGCTTTGCTTCTAGGGAAGCTGACTTCAGTGCATTGTGAGTAACTTTCTAAAGCTTTCAGTTCACAAGCTCCCGTGTCTCCCACACCTGTGTGTGGCAATGGCAGCATGTGTTGGATTGCCCGCTCGGTTGCCTCAGTGTGGTACACATCGACTTGCTTTGCTGGAGAGAACATCAGTAACTCATCTTAATGCCCTTCAGGGGAAAACCATCTGTTCAGGTGGTTGATGGAGCAGCAGCCCGAATGGAAAGGCCGCGTCAACCAGAAGGACCAGGATGGCTGCACCGTCCTGCACGTGGTCGCCGCCCACTCCCCGGGATACCTCATCAAGCGTAAGTGGCGACACCGGGTGCAGGACACCGGGTGCAGGGCGTGCTGTGGGCTGGAGGACCTCAGGCATTGGCGAACTCACTTAACAGGCCATTATGTTTTCCCCATCTGTCCTGTGACGGGCTCAGGAGTAAACTTTGCCTTGAATTAAACATGATTAGGAGGGTAAGCTGTGTGCAGAGAGGAGATGGAGCGAGAGAAGGAAGAATTGCAGGGCTCTCGGCTTTGAATGGCTTCTGTGGGGTCAAATGACTCAAGGACATGGGCTTCCATCTGCATTTGTTCTCACCCCCATCACGTGGTTACTAAGGGCTTTATTTTATGCCAAATCTGTGCTCCACCAGAGACAAATTGTGAACCAGACAACAGACATAATCCTGCCTTCCTGGCACTTAGGAGCTAACACAGGAATTGCATCCTCCCCTGCCCTCCAGGGGGAGACAGGCTTCCTGAAAGGGGCTGACACGTGGGAGGAAAAGCTGGCTTCTTGACGCAGATGTACCTTGTTAGCCTGTGAAACAGGAAGCTGTGAGCACGCCCACACAGCTCTGGAAAAGGGGTCGCTGTGATGATAGATGGTCATGGACTCTCAGCCCCAGTGGAAGGGAGGCGACGGAGCAGTGGGAGCTTGTGTCTGGGCTGGCTGCAGCCGGTGCTGTTCGTGGGAACCAGGCTTGCTGCTGTCTTCTGATAGCAAGAGACGTTGGAAGGCTGGATTTTTAAAAAAATACGAAAACTCATGATTATAACATGTCGGCTTGGAATTGAATGTGCCTGTGGACTGGACACAGCCTAAGTCTAAGTCCTGCTGTTGGTCTGGAGGGCCCTCCTAGGAAATTGCAGTGTTCTCTCTCCAGTGAGGTTTGTTTCTCTATTGTTATCCCCCACTGACCGGGGCCCCGGGAATCCATGTCGGGGTGCCCTATGGATTTTTATTGTGAGATTTATTTATTTACTTAAAGTCAGGACATTGATGAAATTGTTTACCTTTTTAAAAAATAGGTTAAAACAACACCCATTCATTAGCTCACAGTTCTGTAGGTCCAGAGTGATGTGACTGAGTTTTCTTTCTTTCTTTTTTTTTTTTTTTTTTTTTGGTTGGGGAATCAACAGAGAGAATTGCTTTAATATACATATGGATGTTTCAAACATAATTGGTATCTCAGTAAACAAATCATTTCATGATATATTTTTTTACATTTTAAAAAACCTTTGTTGTTGAAAGTATTACATATGTCCCCTTTGTATCCCCATTGACCCCCTTTAGCCTGCCTCCATGCCCCCCACCCGCCCCCCCTCACTCCCGCGCCAGGCCTTCACCACACTGTGGCCTGTGTCCATGGGTTATGCATATATGCATACAGCTTTTTCGGTTGATCTCTTCCGACCCCTGCCTTCCCTCTGAGATTTGACAGTCTGTTCCATGCTTCTATGTCTCTGGATCTATTTTGTTCATCAGCCTATTTTGTTCATTAGATTCCACCTGTGAGTGATATCATGTGATACTTGTCTTTCTCTGACTGGCTTATTTCGCTTAACATAATACTCTCCAGGTCCCTCCATGCTGTCTCAAAGGGTAAGAGATCCTTCTTTTTTGCTGCTGCATAGTATTCCATGGTATAGATGCACCACAGCTTTTTTATCCACTCATCTACTGATGGGCACTTGGGCTATTTCCAGATCTTAGCTATTGTAAATTGTGCTGCTATGATCAGTGTGGAGTTTCCTCAAAAAGTTAAAAATGGAACTGCCAGGGATCCCACTTCTAGGAATATATCCTAAGACGCCTGAAACACCAATCAGAAAGAACATATGCACCCCTATGTTCATGATATTTTTCACTCTGCAATATGTACCCCTTTTCAGTAAAAAAGAACAAAAATGGAGATAGGTGTGATGTCACCTAGTGGCCAGGTTCAGCATTGCAGCTCTGAGAATCTCAGACGGGGGCTTAGCAAGGGTGAAGGGAAGTAGGTTGGAAGCTTAACTTTGTGGGTTTTCTGGATTTTCACTTAACTGGAGCAATACCTCTGTATCCATCACTTTTCTAGGATATAAAATATAAAAGCCCATTTTCTGGGATATCTAACCTTGACATTGGAAGTCCAGCTCCAGTCTAAACTGAGGAGAATGAGCATGTATTTCAAGTGATAGAGCTAGAGGGGACATAGACACACACACACACACACACACACACACACACACACACACAGAGGCAGTCCAGTGTTTTTAAATCTACTTTGTATGTATAGAAAACTTTGAACTGAAGACATGTCTGAGAGATACTTGCTTCCTTCAAAAAGATACCTGTATTCTCATTAGGAGAAACAATGAGAAATGACTTTTCACAATGCCAGCCTTGGCCCGAGGCTCAGCCAGCCCCTACTGCTGTGTCTCAACAGTGAAAGGGCCATTAAGTTCCACCAATGCCATGTACCCGGCAGGTTTTCTCACTCACCCTCAGGGATAGCTGTGAGGAAGGTATTATGAGTCCAGCTTCACAGATGATGACCCTCAGGCCGCTAGAACCCATGTCACTCTCCAGATCAGTGGTAGGATGGGAATGGGGTTCCATCCCTCGTCCTTCCTACGGGACCCGGAGCAGCCTCCCTTTTAGAAGATGGGCTTCCATGTGACTGAGTTTTCTGCTAAGTGTCTCCTGAAGCTGAAATCAGGTGTTGGCTGGGACTTTGTTATTATTTTTTAAATATGTTTTTATTGATTTTTTAGAGAAAGAGGAATGGAGAGGGAGTGAGAGATAGAAACATCAATGATGAGAGAGAATCATTGATTGGCTGCCTCCTATAGGCCCCCCACAGGCATGTGCCCTGAATGGAACCTCTTGGTTTCTGGGTCAATGCTCAACCGCTGAGCTATATCGGCTGGGCCATGGAACTGTGTTCTTACCTAAAGTTTGAGGCCTAGCCCTAGCCGGGTTGGCCCAGTGGATAGAGTGTTGGCCTGCGTACTGAAGAGTTGCGGGTTCGACTCCAGTCAAGGGCACATGCCTGAGTTGCAGGCTTGATCCCCTGTAGGGGGTGTGCAGGAGGCAGCTGATCAATGGTTCTCTCATCATTGATATTTCTCTCTCTCCCTCTCCCTTCATCTCTGAAATCAATAAAAATATATTTTAAAAAAAGTTCGAGGCGTTCCTTCAAGTTCACATGATTGTGGCAGAATCCAGTTCCTTGTGGTTGTAGGACTGGGGTCCGAGTTTCCTTGCTGACTGTCAGGCAGAGGCTGCTGTCAGCTTCTACAGACCACACACATTCCTTGTCATGAGGCCCCCTCTATATTCAGAGCGGGGAGAATTTCTTGTGCATCAGATCTCTCTTGTACTTTGAATCTCTGACCTCTACACTTTTGACCTTTAAGGTTCAAATGGTTAGGCCAGGCCCATCTGGAAAATCTCCCGATTATCTTAAGGTCAACTGCTCTGGGACCTTAATTACATTCTCAGAGTCTCATCACAGCAGTCCTTGGATTAGTATTTGATTGAAGAACTGGGAGAAGGTGTGTGTATGCGAGGTGCTAGGAATCTAAGGGATTCTGCTTACCACTGTGAGATATTTGACGGGAAGAGAAAAGTAGGACTCTAATTTTTTTGTTAATTCTCACCCGAGAATATTTTCCATTGATTTTTAGAAAGTGGAAGGGAGGGGGAGAGACACACAGAGAGAAATATCGATGTGAGAGAGAGACTTCGATTGGTTGCTCTCAACCAAGCCAGGGATTGAGCCTGCAACCAAGGTAAGTGCTCTTGACTGGAATTGAACCTGGAACTCTTCAGTCCGTGTGCCAATGCTCTATCCTCTGAGCCAAATTGGCTAGGGCAGGCCTTTTAAATTTTGTCTTATTTTTGTAAAGTGGAAGAAGGGCAGTTGTTATTGGGGAGATGGGGAAGGAGAACACCATGAGTAGGACGATACCTTGAGTACAGGTGCTTGGTCAAGGCAATGCATTTTAGGAAAGCATGGGTATGAACGTTGGGGATCGGGCATTGATTCATTTAACTCTCCATGCCCACATAAGTCTTTGTACCCCAGAAGTACACCTGTTCCATTATGAAGACTGCTGCATCTGTGACCACAGAGACACCTTGATGCTTGGCAAATAGATTTGTCAAAGCAGCAAACGGAGCTGGCAGCCAGAGGGTAGGGGCTGGGAGGATGGAAACAGTGACAACAAAAAGACCCCGATTGGAGAGCAATTGCCACTTTTTTCTCCTGTCTCCAGACAGGCTTTTTTTCTGGAAGAATATTTTGTTTCCTCTCTAGGGAATAAAGAAATCTGAAGTCACAGCTTGCTGTTATCCTTACAGCTGTAACAGTTGCCTAGTAACCAGATTCCCCATCTCCTTGCTTGTTGCCAAGGAGAGGGGAGAAAGGTATAGAGGAGCGCACTTCTGAACCTCTTAAAAGCTATTGTCCTTCCCACTCCACAAAGTCCGCCTTGCTTCGGGGACTTTGGTGGGTTGCCCAAGGCCAGCAGTTTAGGTTCTGCAAGCAGAGGGACCGTGGTCCTCTTGCCCCGGCTGCTTAGGCAGGAAACTGGGAGGACGAGCACTCATGGGGACATCTCCTTACGGAAGGAACCATGACAATGCCCCCTTTTCCTTTTGGCCTGCCCTAGGACAAACAGAGGATGTGCAGATGCTCCTGCGTTTTGGGGCAGACCCCACCCTGCTAGATCGACAGTCCCGGACCCCTGTGGATGTCCTGAAGAGGAATAAGAACTTTAAAGCCATCGAGAAAATCAATAGTCACTTGGAAAAACTGGCTGCGTGTTCTAAGGACCTATCAGGTACAGCTTCCAGTGAATTAACTTTTTTTTGGGGGGGGGTGTAAAAACTGGTTCTGTGATGTTAGATACAAATTGATTAATCTTTTCTTGGTATATGAAGATGGAAATGAGACTCCCAATCTTTGGAAAACTTGTTTCCTTTTTTTTGGAAGATAGAACGAGACAACTCTTATTTAGAGAGCATCTGCAATATTCCGGGAACTTCGCCAGGTTGTCCTTTAGATGCTATGGGGGATTTATTTTCTAACGCATGCACACAGTAAAAAAGAAAAAAAAGCAGAAGGAATAGGAGATAACAAAAATCATTCCTACCCTTCAGAAACAGCCACAGCCAACATTTAAAATACATTCATGTTGCACTAGATTACACTATGCACTTACATATTAACTTCTATTCCTATTTCTTTATCAGTTTAGGACAGCATCCATTGACTGACTGCTGTATAAGATGAAGTTAAACAAGTCAGCCCCAATTGTTGAGTAATGTCTAGTAATGTTGTTTGTGTCATTTACATTCTGTTCCTCAACTCTTAAGTTTTCTGTGCTGCATCTATAGATTGATTCTAAAACTTGAAAACCAGTACATGGCATTGGCATGGTAGGATGATTATATAAATGTTACACTTTCTACAACAAATAGCATACCTGGACCCATAGGAAAGAATTACCCAGTGTCCTGAAAACTTTGCTCTTTAAATATTGTAATAACTATGTATGGCGTTGGGGGGATCACTTTGTAAGTTATATAAATGTCTAACCACTATGCTATACACCTGAAACTAATAGAATATTGAATGTCAATTGTAATTGAAAAATGAAAAAAAAATTTTAAGAGATGTGACACTCTTTAGGCATCCCAGTTTAATGAAACATACATATACATTATTGCATATGTGTGTCTATGCATGTGCACACACAGTATATGCTTTTTAGACTTTACTTAGGCTCTAGTCCCCATGTGTGTACATTATGCTGGGTTTAGTTTTGTTACTTCTATATGATTCTTCTGGATCATGTTGTCTATTTAGATTTCTCTTCTGTTCTGCTAGAGCACCAACTCGTACGTTTTTCGTGGAGGAAGGAGACATGGGTAGTAGACTTATGGAATTTGGGAAGAGTCTTTATTTTATTCCTATTGGTTGATAATATGTCTGAATATAGGCATTGTATTTCATTGATTCCAAGTTACCCTTTCCCCCCCCCCCACATTTTAACATCTTCAAAACTGGAGTGTGTTTCGTCATCACTGACATGTCTCTGTTTAATGGTATATTAAATTAAGAAATCGAAACTGTCTTTGCCAATGAATGTCCAGGTTTTAAAATAACAACAAAAAATGACCACCAGTTAATGGTAGAAAATGGCTGCTCTGTTTGCCAATTTATTGTTTATTAATTCTAATATTAATTCTTATAATACTGTATATGTATGTATGTTATATTTAGTGTTACAGACTTTAGCATGTCATTCATTTTTATTTATTTTTAAAAATATTTTCCGTTTCCTTGTACAATAGAATTTTTGAAAATCTGCTGATCCTAAAAACATCTCATCTACTGAGACAGGGTCTCACTCTCCCTTCCTCTCTCTGCTCCTTCATCAACTAATTCTGGTCCAGGTTTGAACTAGGAGGAGAGACTCAGCATTGCAGCTGGTCCTTTTTTTACTTACTAGGACTCAACTGCACTCGCTTGGCTGAAAAGCCCATTAGGAGGGATGTGCCATCCCAGGCCGGCCCTTGGGCTGACTGGTAGTTTGTGATGGCAGTGGAGGCAGTCAAGCCTAAAGTCCCCCAGTGGTCGTTGGTAAACGTATTGGAGGTTTGATTACCGCAACGTTTTCCAGACCATCAACCAGGAAGGTTTCCTTGCTGCGCTAGAGGAATATTGAACGACCACAGGAGAACACTGAGTGAAAAGAAAGCAAAAGGAACTGATACAAATCAGAAAAGAGCAGGATGACAATTATCTGGAAGAGCTAGCTAGTGATGGTGTCTGTGGATAGGGTGGCTTTTGCTTCTGGGTGAGAAATCTCACTGAATATTTCTGCTGTTCTCTAAACCAGAGCTTCCCGACGTAACTGTGCACACAAACCGCTGGGGAGCCTGTTAAAATGCAGATTTTCATTCAGCAGGTTCAGGGCAGGACTCAGGATTCTTACAAGCAGCCAAGGGAAGCCAGAGTCCACTTTGAGGAGCCAGGGTTCACTCCTGAAGAGTCAGGATTATGTAACGGTCTTACCTGCCTTTCACCACCAGATGGCAGCATGTCCACCTTCTCTGGAACTCAACTTTCCTTAGGACCTAGAACAAGATTGATTGATCTTCTCTCACTCACTAATGCAGGGCCTTTCAAGTGAGAACAGATCCAGCCCTCTGAAGCTTTTCTCTCTGGTCCCTTAGGCCCTGCAGTGGTTCTCAACCTTCCTAATGCCGTGACCCTTTAATACAGTTCCTCATGTTGTGGTGATCCCCAACCATAAAATTATTTTCGTTGCTACTTCATACTGTAATTTTGCTACTGTTATGAATCATAATGTAAATATCTGATATGCAGGATGTATTTTCATTGTTACAAATTGAACATAATTAAAGCATAGTGATTAATCACAAAAACAATATGTAATTATATATGTGTTTTCCAATGGTCTTAGGCGACCCCTGTGAAAGGGTCGTTCGACCCCCAAAGGGGTCTCGACCCACAGGTTGAGAACCGCTGCTAGGGGGAGCCAGCTGCTTTCTGCTCTGTGCTGGTGCAGGCATCTCTAGCACAGCAAGCACTTGGAGGATACTGGAACTTTCTCTGTGTGTTGGTTTCCCTCACAGACAGAGCCTGTGACTCAGAGGTTTCCCATCTTCGCATCCCTCAGCACCAAGACGGGCCTTGTATTCAGTAAATGCAGGGATGCAGTGCTTACTTAAATGTGTCCATGATATGTTTTTTCTTCTAAAAGCAATATACTCTTTTTTAAAGGAAATTTACAAAATAGGAAAGGAAAACAAGAAAATACTAATTCTCTATAAACCAACCTCCATCTGCAAATTCATATATTTGTGACTTGGCTATTTAGTCTTATCTCATGCATTTATAGCTATATGTTTTTATGTTTTTCTTTTATGAAGTGAGATGGTTGCATACATTTAAACTGATTAAAATGTGTGTAATAAAATGTACCAGTTTGTATGATAAATCTTACCAGTTTGTCTTTTTTAGCTTGGGAGAAAGATTTTAGGCAAAAGCGAAATCTCTTTTTGAAATGATTTATTCTGTTTTCTAACACTTCTGAGCACTGTTGCAACTTCAGAAGACCTTTTTTAGTTTTAATTTTTTAAAATATATTTTTATTGATTTCAGAGAGGAAGGGAGAGGGAGAGCTAGATAGAAACATCAGTGATGAGAGAGAATCATTGATTGACTGCCTCTTGCACCTCCCCTACTGGGGTTCAAGCCTGGACCAGACATGTGCCCTTGACCAGAATTGAATGGGACCATTCAGTCCTCAGGCTGGCGCTCTATCCACTGAGCCAAACCGGCTAGGACTAGTTTTAATTTCAAATCTCCTAATATATATCCACTAAATATGATCATTGAAGGAAGTTTGTAAAAATATGGTTTTATATAAAAACAAAAATTTATTGTAATCACAGTTTAGCATATTTTCACCCAGTCTTTCTGTTGTTGTTTAGTACTTATATAGTCACTTTTTTTTTTCAGATCCAAAGATATTTTTTCCATTGATCTTTAGAGAGAGAGAGGGAGGGAGAGAGAGAAAAACATGAGAGAGACACATCCACTGGTTGCCTCCGGAAGGCATCTCCACCAGGGTCAGGGATCAAACCTGCAACCGCGGTATATGCCCTTGACTGGAAATCGAACCCGCAACACTTCAGTCCTCGGGCCTACGTTCTAACCACTGAGCCAAACCAGCTAGGGTCCCAAGAGAGCGAATGGAACTAATAGGCCTCTTGAAGCCTAGGCTCAGATCCTGCACAAAAACCACAGCCACTGCATTCTACTGGTTTTAACTGGTCATGGAGCCAGGCCAGAATCAGGGGTGGGAGGGGAATAGGCTCCACCTCTGGGTGGGAGGAGCTGCCAAGGTCATGGCAAAGCATGTGGGTACTGGGAGGGGTGCAGAATTGTAACTTTTCCATCTCCTGCAGCTGTGATCTCTATTCGGAAGCATCACCGGGTGCTGTTTTGCAGGACTGAGCCATGGCGAAGGACCCAGTAGCGAGAGCAACATTTTCCGGGAGGCCTCTGCGCAGCTGGTGAAGTACCTGAACTCAGGAAACCGGTTGCTGCATAAAAACTTTCTGAAGCAAGATGTAGTCCAGAAGTTCTTGCGCCTCCTTTCTTCCCTGCAAGGTAATTTTTTATTTTTATTACTTATTATTATTATATTTTTAATATTTTTATTGATTTTTTTACAGAGAGGAAGGGAGAGGGATAGAGAGTTAGAAACATCGATGAGAGAGAAACATCGATCAGCTGCCTCCTGCACACCTCCTACTGGTGATGTGCCCGCAACCAAGGTACATGCCCTTGACCGGAATTGAACCTGGGACCTTTCAGTCCGCTGGCCGACGCTCTATCCCAGAGGTTCTCAACCTGTGGGTCGCAACCCCTTTGAGGGTCGAACAACCCTTTCACAGGGTTCGCCTAAGACCATCGGAAAACACATATTTTCAATGGTCTTAGGAACCAAGACACTGCTCCTCTATCCGTCTCCAGGCGGGTCCGCCCACATACGGATACGCCCACATACGAGCACCCAGCGTATTAAAGGGTCGCGGCATTAGGAAGGTTGGGAACCACTGCCTGTCCACTGAGCCAAACAGGTTAGGGCCCTGCAAGCTAATTTTTCTCACAAATTCAATTGTGTGAAAGGTGATTTATGCTCATTCAGACTTTTTGAATATCTTTTAGAAATGGATTTAAAAATGTAATGATCTGCCCTAGCCAGTTTGGCTCAGTGGATAGAGCGTCGGCCTGTGGACTGAAGAGTCCTGGGTTCGATTCTGGTCAAGGGCATGTACCTAGGTTACAGACCCTGCTCGGGGTGTGTATGGGAGGCAACCAATCGATGTGTCTCTCTGTCTCCCCCTCCCTTCCACTCTCTCTAAAAATCAATGAAAAAATACTCTTGGGTGAGGATTAACAACAACAACAAAAGTAATGATCTACATGTAAAACAGCCAGCACAGAACACCAGTTATCTATCAGTGAAAAGTCCATCATCCGTCTGTGAACTTCAGTCCCTAAGTCCCGTCCCTGAGGCAACCTCCATTATTAGTTTTTCATGCATCCTCCTAGAATTACTCCTTGCTTAGGCTGTCCTTTTAAAAATACCACAGATGTTTCTCTCTTCTATAGATATTGGGACATTTGGTTATTGTAGAATGGAATTGTTAATTTTTTTCATTATGGGAAAATCGGAAGGAAAAGAATTTTAGATGACAAACTTTAGATAATCAGGGACAATTAAAAATTCTGCTCTCCTCCTAGACCAGGCTGTACTCAACTTAGGGTATTTCTGACCTTCCCAAGGAGCTTTGCCACAAAGGCACAAAGGGCATGCCAAGGCCACACAGCTCGAAATGGCATGAGTAGAGGTGGGCGGTGGCAATGCCTCGTAATTCATTATTTGCTTATAGTTTCTCCAGTGCTTCAAACTACTGATCAGTAATGTGTTAATTACGCATACATGTGCTAAGTTGTGGTTGGGGACAGAAACCGTATGAACCTTTTTTGGAGTGTGGTGTGTTCTTATTTTTGAAAGAGATCCCTCCTGACCTGGTCTGTGACATTAACCGCGACTGCGCCAACACCTTCGTCAAGTGTTTACTGGAGAAACAGAAATGGCCCGAAGTGCTTCTGCTGCTGACCCGCAAAGTGAGCGGGGAGCCCCCGCTGGGAGACCGCCTCATCAAGGACTGCGACTTCTCGGGCCTTGACCTCTGTGCCATCATCCCCCCGCTCAGCACCTGGGACCAGCGCCGGGTACAGCTCCTGGGCCGCCTGGTAGACGGTGGAGGTGAGCATGCTGAGATGCGGGGCTCCCCTCCCATGGGAGCTCAGGCCGTGCCTGGCCTGGTGTTTTTCCACTTGATTTTGAAGGCTCCTTTAAGTCCTGCTCCTTCTCTTCCTCCGTATCTCCTCATTTGGAAACAGCGAGGCCTGCAGTGGGTGGTGCTCTGTAGGAAGCCTGCATTTCTGTGAATTACAGTTATGAGAAACCTCAGGTACGTGGAGGGCGTGCTTTGGCCGCAGCGGTCACTTCCTCCTGACCTCTGGCTGGACCCTGCACGGCATCTGCTGCGTGGGGCCTCGTCAGCTCTGCGGCTTTCTTTTCTAATCAACACATTGGGATTCAAGATGCTTGTTTTTAAAAGAAACAGTGAAATAATTGGTTGGTGGAAGCACCTGCCGCGTTAATCAGCACAATCGCACTTGGCTGGGTGGACGTCTGGAGTGTGTAGCGTCTTGCTGGATTGGGTTTTATTTTAAAACGAATTTGGAAATACCAACCTGCTCTGGCAGCACCTCCCACCCCTACTCATGCCATGGCGAGCTGTGTGGCCTTGGCATGCTCTCTGTGCCTTTGTCTGTTCACTTATAAAACGGGAATGTTAATAGTCCCTCTTCCTTAGGGATGTTTTGAATGTGAAGTGAGCTCACTCGGAAGAGCACCCTGGCTGTGGGTTTTCCGCTTGCTTTGCCGTTTAAGGGGAGTGGTGACACATTGGTCCTCGGCTCTCCAAGTGCCATACAAAGCCCCCAGGCATCGGCTGTTCCCACAGGTTTCAGGAGGTGGATGGATGCCTCCTATAGTTTATTTCTTCAAACCTCTCCCCTAAATGGAGTGTTACTCCCTGAGCCCAGAAACTGTGGCTGCAGTGGGATTCCAGTTTTATTCCTGAGTCACCGAGCACTCAGGGAGCACCTCCCTGGGATCAGGTGCTTGGGCCTAAGGGCAGAGAGTGAAGGTGTGGCTGCTGGAGGCCTGGGCAGTGCCGAGGGGAGGGGAGGACTGAGCTAAAGGAAGGGAGGTGGGGCTGAGAGGTGTCAGGGAAGATGGCAGTTGACAGTAGATGCGCATCCTCTGGAAGCAGCGTCACAGAAACAAAGGATGTTGGTAGTGGAGCTCACGTCCTGATCACTGGCTGACTGTGCGGCAGGTACGGTGTCAGGCCAGCACCCGGGTTTGCAGGCCCTGCTCTCCTCCCCAGCAGGGCTGATGCTGGGGTCCATGTCCTGTTCTGGGACGGCAGGGGGAGCCAGAGAGCTGGGGGAGAAAAGGCCCACAGACAGGGCACTGGAAGGAGCTGGGCTTTCACTCTGAGGGTCTGGGAAGCCTTTGCCTGCCAGGCGGTGGCAGCGGGCCTCACCAGTCAGGTGAGCATCAGCTCCTCCCTGGGAATAATGGCAGAGGTGGCCCTGCCTCCAGGTGCCCAGGCTGTACCTCGTCATGTGAATACAGCTCACGTGCCCTTCTCTGCCTCCCCCAGCCTTGCCCGAGGGCCTCCAGGACAGCCAGGCGAGGCCGCTAGCCGTGTGCCTACAACACCAGGACTTCGAGTTGGCTTTTCTGCTCCTGACCAAGGGTGCGGACCCCCGCGTCATTTCTCTCACGGAAGGCGACACACCTCTGCATGCAGCTCTCCACATCTTTTTGGATGTCAATGGTAGGCCTCTTTTTCAAACCGGTTTTTGCCTTGGGGAGGAGGCTGGATATTAGAACTGATGCTCTGGTTTTTTTCCTGTTGGGCAAGCCAATGATCTGGAAAAAGCCCCTTCTTTGGCAAGGCCTGCCCCTAGTTTGACAGGAGGGAGTGACCATCACGGTGAATGATCAGGGTGGGTTGATTAAGGAGGATTCTTAAGTTTCAAATTTGGCTCCATAGCTAACAAATACTTTATTTACATGGTTTTCAAGGGTCCTGGCATAAAGGATCTTATTGGAATATCATAAGGTTATTTCAGGGTTTCTCACCCTTGGTGCTGTTGACATTTGCGCTGGGTAATTCTTTGCTGTGGGTGCTGCCCTGTGCTCTCTGGGATACTTAGCAGCATCCCTGGCCTCCACCACTCGATGCCAGTAGCATGTCCCAAATTGGGACAATCAAAAATGCCCCAGACATTGTCACATGTCCATGGGGAGCAAATTTCCCCAGTTGAGAACCACCGAGTTGTCAAATACTTGGGGAAGTTAGGTGTTCTACGACACCCCTGGCCGGCATCTCTGTTAAATCCAGGGGTCCCTGTTCCCCGGGAAGAGGGGCTCAGCACTCACAGAATGTTGTTTGTGTCTTTCAGCTGACATCGGTTTTAACTTCCTCAACCACCTGCTGGATCTCTTCTGGTCCAACCCCGCCAAATTTGACTACCTCAACCCCAACACCCAGGACAGCAGCGGGAACACGCTGATGCACCTGCTCTTCCAGAGGGGCATGCTGAAGCGCATGAAGAAGCTGCTAGACCTGCTCGCCAAGTTTGACATCAACTTCAACCTGAAGAACAAAGAGGGCAAAGACGCACGGCACCGGATTAAGAAGAACGCCCCTCTGCTCTTGGCCTGGAACAAAGCTGTGGCGGAGAGCCGGCGGAGGAGCCGGCAGGACCCCGCTGCCCACCTGGGGAAGTTCCCAAAGAATGCTGTTCCTGGTCAGACGGCTCAGCTCAAGTCCCAGGTTCCATCTGATTCGCTGCTGTGCGGTGACCCTGACAGACCCCTGCCCGAAGGGGCCGTGGTTCCTGACAGCTGGGAGACTCTCTCGGACGCCCAGATGGCGAGGCAGGAGTCTGGAGTGGCCAGGCCCTGTTCTCAGAGGGACCGCCTTGTGCAGCACATCATGCGCCTGATCGAGAAGGTTGAACTGGACATGTCCCTCCCGGAGGACTGTCCTCAGGACTCCAAGCCCCTGGAGATAGGAGCTGTCACAGAAACGAAGAGGGAGGAGCTCCAGCGAACCCTGGGGGTGGGGGGCTCTGACTGTGGTGGAAACAGCCCTGCTGTCCCTGAGGCAGGGGGTGGACACGCTCAGGCGGGCCTCGGGACTTCACAGCTCACGCCCGCTGGTCACAGAGGCGGGGAGGACACTAGCGATCAGGATAGCTGTCAGGAGGTGGAGGCCTGCCTCCAGGACTTCGAGAACATGACCTGGGAGATCGAGTGTACCTCTGAGATGCTGAAGAAGCTGTCCAGTAAGGTGATGACCAAGGTCATGAAGAAGAAAATCATCCTAACCATCCATCAGCTAGGGAACGGCGAGTGGACGCAGGGCCTGCAGAAGCGGCTGAAGCACCTGAAAGGAAACATCCAGCTCTTCGAGGCCAAGCTGGACAAAGGGGCCCGGATGCTATGGGAGCTCGCCATCGACTTCTCCCCTCGATGCAGCGAGAACCCTGAGAAGATAATCACCACAGAGCGGAGCTCACACCCCATGGAGAAGTCGGGGCGGGTCTACACAGAAATCATCCGGATCTGGGACATCGTCCTAGATCATGGCAAGCTAACGGACTCTATCCGGGCTATCTGCAGCGCCTACAACCGCGGCCTATCCTGCATCCTGCGGAAGAAGCTGAGGGGCATCAACAAAGGCCAGGTGTCGGCCAACATGAGAATCCGAAAGCGGATACCCCGCTGCTACGTGGAGGACACGGAGGCGGAGAAGGGCAGGGTGCCCGTGGAGCCCCAGTACTTCCCCCCGGCCAGCGCGGTGCAGACCGAGTACAACGTCATGAAGTTCCACAGCTTCAGCTCCAACATGGCCTTCAACATCCTCAACGACATGACGGCGACAGTGGAGTACCCGTTCCGGGTGGGCGAGCTCGAGTACGCCGTGATCCATCTCAACCCCCGGCCGCTGGAGCCCATCATCCTGATCGGGCGGAGCGGCACCGGGAAGACGACGTGCTGCTTGTACCGGCTCTGGAAGAAATTCCACATCTACTGGGAGAAAGCTGAGCAGGCGGGAAGCCCGCTGCTGGCCAAGCAGGTCTGGCTGAAGAGAAGGTTGGAAGTGGAACCCAGAAAGGAGGGTCCCGGTGAGGAGGAGGAGGAGGAGAAGGAGGAGGACGAGGAAGAGGAAGGTTCCATCGAAGTGGAGACAGTGGACAGTATAGATGAGGAGCAGGAGAGCGGAGCCTGTGCAGGGACAGCCAGTGAGGACCCTGGGGGGCCCAGCCAGGTGGCAGAAGTATGTGCCCCAGAAGGTCCCCAGCAGCTGGAGCATTTACACCAGATCTTTGTGACCAAGAACCACGTGCTGTGCCAGGAGGTGCAGAGGAATTTCATTGAGCTTTCCAAGTCCGCCAAGGCCACCAGCCACTACAAACCCTTGGAACCCAATGTCCACAAACTCCAGGACCTGAGGGACGAGAACTTCCCTCTGTTCGTCACTTCCAAGCAGCTGCTCCTCCTGCTTGATGCTTCTCTGCCCAAACCATTTTTTCTGAGAAATGAAGATGGCAGCTTAAAGAGAACCATCGTTGGGTGGTCCACGCAGGAGGAGCTGACCATCCCCAACTGGCAGGAGGAGGAGGAGGAGGCTGAGGGGGATGGGGACAACGTCGAGGAGGATAAGGTTGCAGAAACACGTTCGTGTGATGTTGACCCCCGGGTGTACGTGACATTTGAGGTGTTCACCAATGAAATATGGCCCAGAATGCACAAAGGGAAGACCTCCTACAACCCTGCACTGATTTGGAAAGAAATAAAATCTTTTTTGAAGGGGTCTTTTGAGGCCCTCAGCAGCCCCGAGGGGAGACTCACGGAAGAAGAGTATAAGAAATTAGGGAGGAAGCGGTCCCCCAATTTCAAGGAAGACCGGAGCGAGATCTACAACCTCTTCTGCCTGTATCAGCAGATCAGGTCCCAGAAGGGCTATTTTGACGAAGAGGATGTTCTGTTCAACCTGTCCCGGAGGCTGTCGAAGCTCAAGGTGCTTCCGTGGTCCATCCACGAGCTCTATGGCGATGAGATTCAGGACTTCACGCAGGCTGAGCTCGCGCTGCTGATGAAATGCATCAATGACCCCAATGCCATGTTCCTCACCGGGGACACGGCCCAGAGCATCATGAAGGGCGTGGCCTTCCGCTTCAGCGACCTGCGCTCTCTGTTCCACTACGCCAGCAGAAGCACCGGGGACAAGCAGTGTGCTGTCCGGAAGCCCAAGAAGATCCACCAGCTGTACCAGAACTACAGGTCCCATTCGGGTATGTCCAGAGCTCGGACTCACCTACGAGAGAGGTGCTTGGGAACTGGCCTTGGGCTGCTTTGGAAGCTGTGGCCTAGCTTTTTTTTTTTCTTTTTTAATGTATTTTTATTGATATCAGGAAAGGAGAGGGAGATAGAGATAGAAACATCAATGATGAGAGAGAATCATTGACTGGCTGCCTCCTGCACGCCCCCTACAAGGGATCGAGCCCGCAATCTGGGCGTGTGCTCTGACTGGGAATGGAATCATGACCTCCTGGTTCATAGGATGACGCTCAACCACTGAGCTATGCTGGCTGGTCTTCTCATGATTTCTTTATATTGTATATCTTAATAAGTATTAGTAAAATTTCCCTTTACTACTTGGTAACAGCAATGGACATATAAGCTCATTTCGTGGTCATCTACCAAGAACATAGTGTTCTGTGTGGTGTTAGGCAAAGGGCACATGCGCCTAAGACTAGTGGAGAGACCCAGGGGGATCTGCGTGCATTGGAGCTTCATGTCCTCACAGGTGTTGACTGATTCCTCGGACCTCGGAGTCCCTGTTTGTCACAGTGGGATTACCTGGCCTGTCTCACTGGGCAGTCGTGAGGATAAAATGGGGTGATTTCTGTGAATGTGCCTGTTGTATGGTAGCATTCAGTCAGCATCACTGTCACTATTACCTTAAGCTTAGACAAAAAATGGGACCCAGGGAGAAAGCTCTTCAGAATACCTTTTCTCCAGCTCTGACAGTGTTTCTTGGTATAGCTCTCTCTCAGCTGGCTATAAACCTGGTGGAAAAGGGCGATGGAGGCCTTGGTTGCAGCCTCAGCTGACCTCCAGCACTGCTGTTACCATGGCAATGTTGTCTCCAGTCCTCTAAGCGGCAATGAGAGGGGACAGGATAAGTCTTGTTTCCTTACCATCTATACTGGCCCCTGATATTCTCATTCTAACAACTCTCATTGTTCAGATTACATTTCTGCCTTGACTCTTCTTTATGAGGCAATTTTCTCTAATATGAATGTAGATCAGTAATGAGATTCTACAAAACCTCTGCCTTCATCCACTGTGCCTGGAGTAAGAACGGCTCAGGGCCAAAGTGATCATCTAATGAGAACTGGAGATTGGCTTGCAATTATATTATCAGGACAAGTACTGCTTCTCAGGAAAAAACTCCCACACAAAACCCCCAAATCCCAGCCATTTTGTCATGTTGTTCAATATTGGACATGTATTTTCTGTTTTATCCCAGGAATCCTCAATCTGGCCTCAGGAGTAGTGGATTTACTTCAGTTCTATTTCCCAGAATCTTTCGATCGCCTTCCAAGGGATTCTGGCCTCTTTGATGGTCCCAAACCAACGGTCCTGGAGTCTTGTAGTGTAAGCGACTTAGCAATTTTGCTCCGAGGGAACAAGAGGAAAACCCAGCCCATTGAATTTGGGGCCCACCAGGTGAGCTTCTGGGGATTGTTTTGAAATAAAAGGCAGTTTGCAATTGAAAAAAAGGTTTGAGAGGCTAAACTATTCTACAGGGTAGAATTCAATAGCCCTTCTCCCAGAGTGGGTAAATTTCAGAGATGGGTGAGTGACTAATTGTTACTAATATTTCCACTAGCCTGGCCAACCAAGTCCATGCTGGCTACTTCTTAATCACATTACTGCCTCCTATAGAAAAGGACTGAGGTTCAGCTGATTTTTCTTTGTAGAATTTGATGTTTTTTTCCCTCCTATCTTCCTTTTCTTTTTCTAGGTGATCCTTGTAGCCAATGAAATGGCAAAGGAGAAAATTCCAGAAGAACTGGGGTTAGCGCTTGTGCTAACAGTTTATGAAGCAAAAGGCTTAGAATTTGATGATGTCCTCCTTTATAACTTCTTTACGGATTCCGAGGTATGTCATACTGACTTCTTTTCACACAGTGCATGTGTATGTGTGAGTTACCCTGCCACTCTGGGAAAGAGAATTTGGAGCTGAGTAGAAGAGAGTTTGCCAAAGGTGCCTGTTTCTGTTTTGGAGTATCATCCCTTTAGTGTGGGGCTTGGAGTGTTTGATGTGGGTTTTGACAGTGGCCATGAGTTGTTTCACAGTGTGTTATGGGCTGGTTCCCGCCCTTCCTTATTTTCTTGTATTCACCTTCTTCTAAATGCCTGGTACCCAAGTGCCAGCTGCCAGTTTTCACTAGCTACTGTTATCCTTGACTCCCAAGGATGCTCAAGTTGGAGTGAGCTCTAAGGAGAGCTTTACAAGTGAAGGCAAGGGTAGCAGTGTCCACCCAATGAGGACAGAACTGGGCAAGGTCAGTCCATAGAGAGAGACAACTCCAGGAAGACAAATGAGGCTTGGTTCCTGCCCATTGGATCAGGTAATGCGGGGGATGAGAACAGCCGCCTGCCTGGGGGCTCCCTTCTGGCATGGCTTCGCCACCACTGCTTGCCACCCATGCAGACAATGGCAGCAAGAGTGTCCCCAGATTGACCCCCATTGACCTCTGTGCCAGCTCATTGCTTTGACTTGATGGTCTTTCTCAGCGCATTATGGGTAGAGCCACTAACTCAAGACCACTGTCCTTGGTTTTCTAGCCACTGATTTCTCTTCATCACTGTCTTTGGTGGGGACTCAGGCTGGCTGCTGACTGTGCTGTGGGTCTCCTTTGGGGACTTAGCTGGCTGTGCCCTGGTCCCTGTTGCAGACTTCCACTGCACATGGCGCATGCTCGGAAGGGCTGTTTCCATAGCCAATTCAGGAGCACTGCTAGCTTTGACACTTTAAAATCTGCCCCAGAATTTGACCCTTTACATGGAATCCTTACTCTTTTTGTGATCTTTGAAAAAAATGTCATGTTTGACTTGATAATACCTATAACTAAGGTTGCCATGGGTGCTTTACAGTTTGTGAAATACCTTTTGAATGCATTGCCTCACTTTATCTCCCACCAGCCCTCTGAGGTTGTGTGTATTTTTATTACCCTAATTTTGCAGATAAGGCTGAGTGTCATGGAAATGAAGTCAATTGCCTATAGTGATAATATAAGTGGCAGAGCCTAGACATGAACTCAGACGCTTTGAGTTCTAAATGTCACTGTACTCCCTTCCTTTTAAAGCCCTGCATGCAAATCAGCTTCTAGAACCTTCCACAATGAGTGTATCTTTGCCATACCTTAAGTGCATTCCTTTTCTGTTGACTTTTGCTAATAAAATCAGATGCACTCGCATTAACCCTGGAACCATTTTTAATCTCTGAGGACTAACTTTTTTTTCTCATAATACATCCATTGGTCATGGTTGGACCGAGGCTCTCCTAAAGAGGAAGGGGTAAGAGTTTGTTGTTCCTGTCCTTTATTAAGTGCCAGTTGTGTGCTTGTGCCAGTAAGAAGCTCAAGGAGCTCTGGGCTTATGGATCTGTAGCTTGTGGTCGCCTCTGTTTGTGAAAGAAAAACCCAGTGATTGTCTCACTTTGATCCTGGAAATGGCAAAGGCCCGCGATACCTTGACCCTGTGCTCCCACCGGTGGCTCAGTGAGTTGCACGAAATTAAAACAATCACAAGTGGAATCTTCTGGTAACATCCACTCCCTCCTTTGTGCACAGTAAGACTTATAGAAAGACCTCTCATGTGCTTCCCAAGGTACCAGGCAATGTAATTCTGCATTCCCAGAATAGAGCACACCCTGAGTCTGTCATTTACAACCTCAAGACCCCAACGTGTGCATCAGCACGTGAGAGGAAATGCTTTAATCAAAGCAGAGGAAAGACAAGGATCACATAAGTCCCCAGTTGCCTGTGGACTGGCTGCACAAGTGGGGTTTCTTTCGGGGTGACTGGCAGAAGGCTGTTGAATAGTAATTGCTGTTTGAGATGGGGGATTGTGGAGGGCTCCTCCCCATCCCTGGCCTCTTCTTCCACCCATCCTGGCTGATGTTTCTGGCAGGCACTCCCTTTGCAGAACCTGCCACTTGGGTGAGCATGCGTGTGTGCGCATACGTGCGTGTGTGTGCGTGCATGTGTGAGGGGGTTCTTACTGCCCTGATTTGTGAGTTTTCTCTCTAGAAGATTTACTGTTCACCTGTTCAACCACAGGTCATCAGGGCCATCTCCTGAGATGGGGAAGGAGCCAGGAAATGTTACACCAAGTCCTTCTGTAGGATTTCGCCTCAGTTTGGGGAGGGGCAGTCATTCTCCCAGTCACCCCGAAACTCTCCTCCTGTGGGGACTTGGAAGGGTGCCTGCCATTTATATTCTGCCCCAGTGGGGAGTCCTTTCCTTCACACTCATGTGCAAATAGGACAGGAAGGACTTCAATAACCACAACCTTTGTGGGTTGCAGGCCTCACCGTGGAACGGTAGGCTTGCAGTAGAAACAGAGCCTTGTTCCTTCACAGTGATGAGTCCCAGTAGAAGCTGGGAGATTGAAAGGCTTCTTGCTTTATTGCCAGAAGTGCTGCAGGCCTGTGGTCTTGTGTCTTTGTGCACAAATGCACGGACTCACTTTTAAAAGGCTTTGTCTCGAAAGTCGAATGTGTTTTATTCCTGGAAACAGTTGTCAAGTGCCATGCGAGCAGCTTTTCTTCCCATTCAGCGGTTCTAAAATGCATTGTGCTTCACCAGCCCTTCCAAGGCCAGCCAGTCTGCACCCCATGCTGTCTGCTGGGAGGCCCTCCCAAATGTCAAGCATATATGTCTCTGCCTGCTTTCCTTGGCAGACAGTTCGGTCGTGTAAACAGCTTTACAGAGAGGACAGTCATAATATGCCCTGAGAGGTTTTTGTAACTTCCAGCTACTTAAATAATTACATGACTCACATCTCTTTTCAGAACCTGGTGATTAATTCCATAATTGCTTACTAGCATAACCATTCTTATTTAAGAGATAGTGTTTAAAGCATTTAACCTGAAGTTTATATAGTTTAAGTCATGGATTAACTGACAAGAGGCAATGAGCAGTATCCATTCCATTTTACCTTGAAGAGATACACAGGTGGCAAGAAGCACCACTTTAGGAAAAGCAAAGCAAAGTCTAGGTGAGTCAACAAGCTACTCTCACAAGTCACAGTACAGTATGAAATCTGAAATGTCGTAGGAATTCTGGACTCTAAATACTACATGTGACCTGGGTACTTTAGCCACACAGGTCTGCAAACCATGCCCCCAGGGCCCAAATCCAGCCCACTGACATTTTCGAATGGCCTGTGGGCTAGAATGGTATTTACATATTTTAAAATGGTAAGAAAAAACAATTAAAAGGAAAGTAACATTACGTGGCACATGAAAATGATATTAAATTCAATTTTAGTTTTAAAAAATACATTTTATTAGAAAACACCATGCCCATTAATTTACATATTGACCGTAGCTGCTTTGGTACTGTAGTAGCAGAGATGAGTAGTAGCAAGAGAGACCATAGGGCTCACAAAGCCAAAAATATTTATTATCTGACCCTTTAGAGAGAAAAAATTGCCCATTCATAGTCTACAGAGTCAGTATGGTTTGAGTTTACATAAAGGGGAAAACTGGCTAAAATATTGAACTCTTTATCAGCCATAGTATTAGATACTCACCATTAATGATCTGCTTTTATTTTCCCAACAAACTTGAGTAGGTCTAGCATTCTCATTTTATAGAGCAGGAGAATGAGATCAAGAAGAGACAAATGGTTTGTCCAAGATCATGTAGCTAATAAGTGAAAGGACTGAGATATGAATTTGTTCTGTCTGAGCTCAGAGTTTACCTTGAACCATGTACCTCACAGCTCTGGAATATTCTTCCATCCTCGGTGAATAAGGTAGTTAGAAAATGCTGCCTCATGTGTTTTAGCAGCTGACCTTAAGTGGCATCTTTTAAACATGTAGTGAAAAGAGGCGAGGACACTGGGCTCCTTCCTCCATGCTGCCTGTCGAAATTCTTCCAACAAGAACTTCTTGGGCCCTTGGCATTCCTCTGGAAGTGGGCACAAGTGCCTGGCTTCCCAGCTGTCCTGACCACATCTGTGGGAGATTTCCTGGAAGCTTCCCTGACCCCTGCCTGCACAACCTGAGACCCAGCCCATCATTTGGAGGCCATAGGATGGCCCCCTCCTCCTAGCTGGGGCTGACGCCCTGGTCCCCAGGCCAGGAAAAGGGGGGCTCACTTCTCCATGAGGCTCGGGGTGGCTGTGTGTAGAGTTGGAAAGCATGTTCCGTTGGTCTTTAATCTGTCCTTGTTGTTCAGGCTTACAAGGAATGGAAGATCATTTCCTCGTTTACACCTTCATCACCCGACTCCAGGGAGACAAGCGGGCCGCTGATTGACGTGCCCCTGGACAAACCCAGCTCCTCTCAGGGTCGCTCTCTCGTGAATCCAGAAATGTACAAGGTGATTTTCTGCCATTTGTCCACACAGGTATTTGACAGGGAGCCAGTGCCCAAGGCTGGGATGAGAAGATGAGATTGAAGATGGATGCTTGCTTTTGGCTCTTCCCGAACATCAGTCCTGGGGAGTGGAGGCAGGCGAGGGAGCGGCAGGGATACCCGTGTCCGAAAAGTCCCTGGTCTCAGCAGAAGCGGGCCTGATGGGTGGGCACTGAGAAAGTGGAGGCGGTGGTTGTACCTTCTGTTCCCCTCAGGAACTGTTCAGAAATTTCGATGTTGCTGATGGCAACTCAGAAGTGAAGTCCAGAATCCTAGTTAGTGGAGGCTGTTGTTCAGCAGCCTTGACTGTTAAGGGGCCTGGCTTTCCTTGCCCTTCACATCTCAGCTACGTCACTGAGGAGGCAAAGCTGAAAAGTCCCATGGAATTCCCCACTGAGGGGTAATGGGGAACTCAAGAAAGTGAGGGTGACATCACCGAAAATTGAACCAGCAAAACCAAAAACTACTTTCTCTTCAAGTACAATCCTAGTTTTATGTCTCAAAGTATAAAACAAACAAAATAGCAGCTATCAGGTTATTTCTGTAAATGCCTCGAAGGCTCTTGGAAATACAAGTTAAATCCCCTAAGCTTTACAAACTTCTAGGTAGCCACTAATCTGTTGTTGTCTTGAAAGATGCACTATTTAATCAAGTAGGCCGTCCCTGGTCCAAGTCATAATCACCTTGCAGCTACAGTGCTCAGTCACGGGGTCAGTGATGGGTAATTTAGTACTTGGATGGTTATAATAGAAGTGTAGGACTGGTTTAATTTTTAAAAATAAGTTACAGTCATTGTGTAAGATATGACCATTGGAGTAAACGGAATGGAAGGTATATGGGACCTCACTGTACTATCTTTTTCTTAAAAATATATTTTTATTGATTTCAGAGAGGAAGGAAGAGGAGGGAGGGAGGGAGGGAGGGAGGGAGAGAGAGAGAGAGAGAGAGAGAGAGAGAGAGAGAGAGAAACATCAATGATGAGAATCATTGATCAGCTGCCTTCTGCACATCCCCTACTGGGGATTAAGCCTGCAATCTGGGCATGTGCCCTGGCTGGGAATTGAAGCATGACCTCCTGGTTCATAGGTTGACGCTCAACCACTGAACAACACTGGCAGGGCTCTCTGTACTATCTTTGTAACTTCCTATGAATCTATAATTTATTTTGAAAGATAAAACTACCGTATATTCAAGGGAGGTGCTGAACTAATGTGTACTCCCTGCTGGAGCTGTGTTGATCAGTGCTGAGACCACAGTGAGCTCCTCATTCTTCATCGCCTTCCTGGACTTCTCTATAATTTACTTCCTGTATTTCTCCAGAATCAGAGTTAGCCCACTGAAGTGTGTCACCTTGTAGCTCTAGACACAAGACTTACGGTCTCTGTCCTCATCCCACCTTTAGCTCCTCAATGGAGAGCTGAAGCAGCTGTACACAGCCATCACCCGGGCTCGCGCCAATCTCTGGATCTTCGATGAAAATCCGGAGAAGCGGGCTCCTGCTTTTAAATATTTCATTCGAAGAAATTTTGTCCAAGTTGTGAAGACAGATGAAAATAAAGGTAAGATCTCATTAACATATTCTGTCTGTGGGATAGAAAGTGTGTTACTCCCACTTGTTCTTAGGGTCAGGTATAAAGGGCATAGATTTTGAGATCTCTCTATTCATTTATTGGTAAAGTGTGATGGACAGTGAGTTGTAATGGGATTGGGAGGGTTAACTCCTTTAGGGAAGATCTTTTATTTGTCCTTCACCAGTGAGGGCCATGGTCAAGGGTTAGAGGAGATAGGCTCTATTGGGAGAATACAAATTGCTGTGGGCTTTTGGATAGCTGATTGGCAATTTCTATAAAAATAAAGAATGAGCATAGCTTCTGACGCAGTAATTCCACTCTAGGAATCTATCCTAGGATATTCTTGTATAAAATCTCAAAGATACATGAACAAGAGTGCTCATCACAGCCCTGTTTATAATGATAAGCTAAAAACGACCTATGTGTCCCCCAGTGTGAAACCATTCATAGTGGCTCCTATGGTGCCAGGAGGACTGGTGGGTGTGGAGATGTGGGCACCTCTTCTCAACTTTATGCCCTTCCAGGCTGTTTGCAGTGTTTTCATTTTTTTAAAGAAGAACATTTTCATAATTTACAGAGACTAGTTAATTAAAAAATGGAGTGAAGGTCTCCTGATAGGATAACTCGGGAGAAATAATCAGCCCTGCATAAAGGAGAAAATAGTGGTCTTTCTTGTGGGTTAGCAGTTGAATTGGCTTGTCCAGGTCTTAGTTAATTTCTCCAAGGACAGGGCCAAGCGCTGGGCTCAGCTGCTGCACAGAGATGTTTGCTGGCTTCCTGAGCGTGTTTCAACCAGTTGTATGGAGGCTTTCTGGTTATAGCCAATGGCTCAGTTGGGAACCAGAATTAGATGTTCTGTTGTGGGCCCTGACTGTTGGGGTGTAGTGGGAAGAGTCAAAGGCTTGGGTTAACCTAGCGTCTCATTAGTGTTCTCCACCTGTGTAGCCACATGACCTTGTTCAGGTCCCACTTTCTCTCCCTGGGCCTTCACTTCCTCAACTGAAAGGAAAATGAGTGGGTTAGCCTGCTGTGGGCATCCTTAATCTTTCCTGCATGCCATTATTCTCAAAATCTGTTGAGGCATCCCATTATAAGAGACCATCAAGATAGGCATTTTACAAATTTAAAAATTCAAAATGAACAAGGATTACAATTTATTATGTCTTGGTAGCATTAAGAATACGAGGAAATGCCCTGGTTGGTTTGGCTCAGTGGATGGAGTGTCGGGTTCCGGGTGCAATTCCAGTCAACGGCATGTACCTAGGTTGCAGGCTTGATCGCCAGCCCAGTCGGGGCATGTGCGGGAGGCAGCCAATTGATGTGTCTCTCTCACATGATGTTTCTCACTCTCTCTTTCTTCCCACTCCCTTCCACTCTCTCTGAAAATCAATGGAAAAAAATCAATGGAAATAAAGGATTAACCAAAAAAAAGAAAGAAAGAACACAAGAAAAGTATAGTCCTAATTGTGTTATAAATAGCACATGGTCAAGTCTTTGAGAACATCTGTTCCCACTCTGCCAGGGAGCTGGGGATGAGTGTAGTGACTGATTCGGGTTTCTTCAACACAGTGCGGCAGCGTTCACTGGCCTTCTGCAGAGAAACGGCAGCACTTGGCTGTGAGTTAAATGTCACCAGGGCACTGGTAGTGCACACTGAGTCAGAACAAGATGCTGCGGAGTCATCTTTGTACACAGTGCTGTAGGGACAGCAGAGGACCCGCAGGGAGGGGTCAGGCTGCAAGGCTTAAGGCATGGCTTTGCACCTTCTAAACAAAGCTGGCATGACTGCCTGGCTCCCCGGTTGACATCCATTGTCCTGGGTATCTCTGACCCCTTCAGCTCAGATTTGGCTGTCTGCGTTGTCCTGGTAGTCACTGTCATCATGTGCTTGATGAAGCTGTGGCTCAGACCCGCAGAATGCTGCCCATTCCTGGTGTCGCTCAGGGGGCGGGGGGTGGGGGAGCGATACCCTCACCAGCAGGCTAGTGAGGCTAACAGGTGGGTCTGACAGCGGGTGGTTATAACAGTCTATGCTCACCAAGGGAGTGTCATACTGCTCACTATGAGTGCACATTTGGGAACACTGTGAAATCCCATCACCTTGTCCCTTGCTAAAGTCTCGACATCTGAGTTTGCTGAGAGGTACATGGCTTTGGATTTTCAAGGAGGAATTAGAATTGCTACCTGTCTTCTAATCTATAGTCATAGAAAAGGAAGGTAGGGCCAACCAAGTTCAAAAACCAAAAAAATGTATTTTCTCACCACCATACCCTCCTTTCGAAACCCACAACATCCGGGCCTGGTAAGCTATAACATATCTTTAAATGAATGCCAGAAAGACAACGCAGATGTATTCTTTTGCTAGGGGTGCCATAGTAAAATATCACAGACTAGGTGGTTTATACAACAGAAACTTATTTTCTCACAGTTCCCAAGGTTAGAAGTCCAAGATCAAGCTGTCAGCAGGTTTGGCTTCTTCTGAGGCCTCTCTTTCTGGCTGCCAGGTGGCCTTTCCTCTGTGCGAGCCGCTGGCATCAATCTCCTTTTCTTATAAGGACACCAGTTGGATTGGTTCCGGGCCTACCAGAACAGCCTCATTTAGGCCCAATTTCCAAATATAGTCACATTCTGAAGTACTAGGTTAGGGCTTCAATGTTTAAATTTTCAGGGGTCGGTGAAGGGGAGGGCAAAATTCATCCCCTAAAAACAGGTTTAAGTGAACAAATGCCCAGAGAAGCAAATTTACTTTTCTTTTTCATTTTAGACTTCGATGATAGCATGTTTGTTAAGACCTCAACTGCTAAGGAGTGGATCGCACAAGGGGAATACTATGCCAAACACCAGTGCTGGAAGGTAAGGGGCTGGGCCAGGAGGCCGGGGAAGTCTTGGTGACCGGTGGCCTCATCTAGCCTCACCGGCATGTCTCTTACCATCATGTTTCCCACCAGGACAGGGTGGGGGTGATGGTGCTTGTGCCACTTCCTGCAACATCAAGTCACCCCTGGATGAGGGGAGTTCCCTGTCATACTCCTTCCCCTATGCAACCATGGCAGCCCTTCATTTTGGCCAAGGGCCAGCGTGTGCTGATACAAAAATGGAAGGTTTTTGCCCCACCAAGGAACACTGCTAGCTATTTTCTTTCCCTCCTGTGTTCTGTGCTTAAAAGCTTTTGCTGCAAACATGTGACAACTTTTTTATCCTCACCTTAGGATGTGTGTATTAATTTTAGAGAAAGAAGAAGGGAGAGAGAGAGAGCCCGAGAGAAACATTGATATGAAAGACAAACATTGATCAGTTGCCTCCCCTCTGTGCCCTGTCTGGGGATCAAACCCGGAATCTTTCGGTGGATGAGTTCCAAACAACTGAACCACCCAGCCAGGGCAATCAAAAGACATTTTAAAACAGTAATAGATTAGTCCTTTTTTTTTTTTTTAAGTTGATCAGACATAGACTTCACTGCCCATTTGAGTCTGATGGGCATAGGTTAAGCTTTTTCACTAGACTGAGCTGACTGATTTCTAGCCACAGGACATCTTAGTGAGCCTGAGCAGTGTTCTTCTGAGAAATGGTACCACTGGCAGTCCTCTCAAAATACTGAACCAGCTTAAAGGGCCCCATCCTTTTCCTCATGGTCATTATCCCTCCAGATCACATGGTCTCGGGTGGGGCACCATTGAATGTGTGTCTGCTGCAGTGTTAATGACGTCTTCACCTGCAGGTCACAGACACCTCAGCTCAACCAAGTCCACATGGGCCCAGTCTCATTCCATCTGCTCCTTGTGTCACCTGCAGCTTGTCTGAGATGTCCCCCTCATGGTCACATGATGGCTATGGCAGTGCCAACCATCTCAGCAGCATCCCAAGCAGGGAGGAAGGGCAGGCACTTTCTTCTCCTGGGTCTCTTTTTTATCACGAAGTCCCCAGTGGACTTCTCCTTACATCTCATTGGTTACTACTCAGTCACATGCCCATGCCTGGCTCCATGGGAGTCTGGGAGAGCTATCCCATCTGGCCTTTCATGGGAGGCAGGTTCTGCCATTAGGCAAGAAAGGTAGGAGTGGGTGTGGGTGACTGACAACAGGGTCGGCCACCACAGGCATGGCCGCACGGAAAGGCACATTTCTCTCAGATCTGGCTCCCGCAGGCACCCGGAGTGCCCCGTGCTTGCAGGCGCGGGCAGTGCTTCCTGAGAGAACACCGGAACTGAGCCTGGGCCAGAGCATGGCTTTTCCTTCCCACGCCTCCGCGCTCACGCTAGGCTTGGTCCAGCTCCTCACACGTTACCGGAAAAGTGCCTGCAGTTTCTCTTGCTAATCCCGAAGAAATGTTCCGAGACCGTGATTTCTCTGAAGAGCTTGTCCTGCCGCTTTAATGATCTTTCTTTTCATTGGAATTTCTTAGCGTTGGACCCGAGTGAAGGTACTGGGAAGTGATGAGTGCAATGAAAATACAAGTCAGAACTTACTGGGAGTCACTGTTGGAGGTGTCTTCCATCTGACATGCCTGGAGAAGGAATTCCAAGAGTTTTCTTTCCCCAAATTCTTAGGAGAATTTTGTCTCCTATGGCAGAGAAAGTGGTTTTAAGTCTACAGCAAGTAAGTCATATGTAGGATTCACCTTTTTCTGCATACCGAACACCCCAAAACTTAAGTGGCTTAAAACAAGTCACTTAGGCAGCTCACAGCTCTGTGGGTTTGCAAAGCTGAGTCTAGCTGAGCAGTTCTGGTCTCAGCTGGGGGCCTCACGTGTCTGGATGCAGCTGCCAGGTGGCAAGCAGGTTGCTTCTGGCTCTTGGCTCAGGTGATGGGGTGATGGGGTTCCTGGATCACATGCCCTTCAGCCTCCAGCAGACCAACCTGGGCTGGTTCATATGACGCCTGAGCAGGGTTCAAAGAGGGCAGCAGACACACGCAGTCCTCCTGAGGCCTGACCTGGATTGCTCCAGTGTTGCTTCCCTGTGTCCTGCTGGCCAAGCAAGTCTCAGCTGAGATCAGAAGGGCGGGGACATGGGCAGCCTTTATAATGGGAGAAGGTGCAGGGTTATTTGATAAAAGGGCGTGGACAGATACAGGGAGGAATGAAGAACTGTGGCCACCCATGAATCCCAAGGGGTGAGAAAACAGAATTTGCACTGTTGGGCGTATCTGGAAAGTATTTTCGTAAATATGTAGTCTTTAGCTGCAGAAATCTTTTTAGGGGAGCCAGCACAGATGAGAATGTTATAAAAAGCCTTCTCCTCTCTGACTTTATTTAGATTCCGCTAAAGGACTTCAGGACTCAGGTGGTTTATTGAGTTTCTGGCTGCCTGTCAGTGAATGTTCCAGAACCACTGTACAAATGAGAAATGATTGAGATTCATTCCTTCAACAGATTCCTATTAAGCTAGGGGCCAATATTGTGTTTAGGTTGTGGGGATATGATGATGAGCGAGGCAGGCAAACAGAAGATTGCACTGTCCCAGTTATTGCAGATGTCAGGGGTGAGAGACCAGCTGCCCCCAGAATGACCTGTCCTGGACAGGGAAAGCTGCTTCGAGTAAGGGAGTGTTGAGCTGAGACCTATGGGATGAATGAAGTTAACCAGGCAGATAAGGGATGGAAGAACATCTCAATCAGGAACAGTATGTGCAAAGGCCCTGTGGTGGAAAGGGGTATGGCACAGATCACAGGAATGAAAGGAAGCCCATGGGGCTGTGGGTGCTGCAGCAAAGAGCTTGAGCAGAAGAGATGCCATCCTGTCCATTTTATCAGCAAGTGCCACTTAACCCTTCCCTTGCCCATGAGGCCCAATCTCAACCTGTTGGACAGAATGTGAACTTTCTGCCCCTGTAGCCTGGGCTTGCAGACATGGTGTCAGCATTTCTGTTGGAGAACAGCAGCTTTCTGCTGGAAGGGATTGGGGTGCAGGCTGACTCCCTGTGACACTTGTCTGCCCACCTTCTGTTTGGTTTACACAGATCTGTATGTCCCAGATCTGTTAGGTTGTGGGGATATGTTTGGTACTGTCTCTATCCCTATTTCTACCCCCAGTGGGTGCACTGAGGCTGTTCCGCCAACACCACCAGTTAGCCGTTACAGTTACCAACCGGGGAGAACCTGTGTTGAGCCCAGAAAAGCCACTGTGTGCCTTTGGGCCAATTACTCTGTGTCTCTTACCTGAAGTTGCTACTCTGTACAAGAGAAGGATGTAATCTCTCATGTGTGACTGTTGGATGATTAACAGAGGGTGTTATGATGGTGGCCTGTAAAAGTATGCACTGTGTACCCTTTCCATGGCTGCCGGGTACTTCGAGAAGGAACCTTTGAGTGTGAAGTGTTAGCCGGTAACACTATTGGACTTGATCCTTGGAGGCCGTTTTCTTTAGCTCACCAGCACCTTCCTCTCCTCCCTCTCAGATTGGGCTGGGGTGAGCCTCATGTTTTGTCAGCTCAGACACTCTGGTTCTGTTGGTCACCTCCATTCCCTTTCAGGGAATCAAAACCTTTCGCCTTTTCCAGGTTGCAGCCAAGTGTTACCAGAAAGGAGGTGCGTTTGAGAAGGAGAAACTGGCCCTGGCCCACAACACCGCCCTGAACATGAAATCCAAGAAAGTCAGCCCCAAGTAAGAGCCTCAGTCCTTTCAGGTTTGCTGTGGTGAGCTCAGCAGGTAAATACATTGGTGTTAGGTCAACGTCCCATGGAAACTCTGTTTTGTTTCCCCTCACAGGGAAAAGCAGATGGAGTACTTGGAACTGGCTAAGACCTATTTGGAATGCAATGAGCCAAAGCTGTCCCTGAAGTGTCTGAGCTACGCCAAGGAGTTCCAGCTCTCCGCTCAGCTGTGCGAGAGGCTGGGGAAGGTACAGTCTGGCCCACAGCTGCTCCTGGGAAAACTGGGCTCCCTGTGAGCAGATGGGGGAGTGGGGGGAGCATCTGCCTCTCTTGCTTCAGGAAGGGGCTCCAGTCCTCCAAAGAGGGAGAGGTTGGCCTTGTTCACTCTAGGATAGTCCTTCCTCCATTTGCACAAATGTTCAGAGGGCTCCAAGGATACGCACGTGTGTGTGTGTGTGTGTGTGTGTGTGTGTGTGTTCATGTCTGTGGGAATGTTTGAGACCTGATATTAACCATGGGGAGGCCATATGTTCAAATCAAAGGGAAGACGGGCTTTGGAATATTCCTCTTCTCTTTCTCTGTGTTCGCAGTCTGGCGTCCGTCTGGGTGAACGGCTTGGCATTTGCATGGCGGTTGTTCTGTGTTCCCTGTAATTGCTCTAGATCCGCACCGACCATTCTGGCAGCCACTAGCCTCATGTGGCTATTTAGTTTAAAGTTTAAGTTAATTAGAGTGTGAGAAAATTAACAGTCCATTTCCTTAGCCTCACCAGCCACATTTCAAGTGCTCGCGGTTACAGAACATTTCCATTGTTGCAGAGAGCTCTGCTAGACAGACTGCTAGCCTAGGGCACGGCGACTCACAGTGGGCAGCGGGCTGGCCGAGGCCACACACTATGGCTTTTCTGCAACAAGATTGGCACAGAAGATGAAAGTAAGCAGTCAGACACTTGTATAGCAATTTAGCATTGCTGTGCATCCAACTGGTGACAATTTTCTTAGTGAACATTTTTTATTGAGTTAGAATAGAATATGACGTTGTATTAGTTTTAGGTGTACAGCATAGTGATTTGATATATGTACTAGTATATATTGTGAGATGACCACCACCATAAGTTTGATATCACCACACAGAGTTAAGATTTTTTTCTTGTGACGAGAACTTTTAGGATTTACTCCCTTAGCAACTTTCAAATGCATGACAACATTACTGACTATAATCACCGTGCTGGAAGTTATGTGATTTGTTTTAATGAATCAGTGGTGATGGATTGGACGTGTAAAACCATTGAGTCCTTCACCGCCAGTTGTCTGAGAAGCAGTGCTCTACAGCGTCCAGCTGTGGCTGGTGCATTTGCCCTGGTGGGTTACCGTGTCGCTCCAGGAGGGAGGTGGGCTTCCATGTCTGTATGTGAAATGCGGTAACTCCTGGATCCTCAGAGCACCCCGAGCATTAGGTGGAGTGGAGGTGGGACCTGTGGGGAAGTTTGAAGTGTGGCTCCCATGCTGCCTGCCCTGCGCCATGTTTATTATGGGATGTGACTTAGGATGTGGGGGATGGGGATGGAATAGGAATTTCTGTGTGGCTGGAAGTTCTGGGTGCTAAGATTTCAGGAACTAGAATAGTTTCCAAACTCTCCGTGTCCCTTAGTCTCTAATGCCATCACCCTCCAATCTCTAATGCCACCACTTGGACCCCAAGCGGTGACAACTGCAGGCCTATGCCTACTGCTTTCCCCTTTTTGCCTACCAGTGCCAGTCATGACTGAGCCAGAGACCCCTTCCTATCTGTCACCTCACCTTCCCAGCCTGCCAAGCTCTGCCTCTGAAAGTGGGGTGGGGGGGACCCAGGCGGCCATAGCACAGCCCACATTCTCCCCTCCAGGACGTCAGTGCCCACAGAGTGTGGAGACCGCCTGCTCCCAGAGCCACAGCCTCCTCCTCCTTTCCACTGCTGCAGGCTTGACCAGAACATTCCAGTAGCTCCAAGCCCCACCCAAGGGAGTGTCTGGGCCCTTTTTTGTTTTGCTCAGGCCCCTTCCTGGAAGAGGATTGGACCCTCAGCCAGCTTCTGGCCTTTGGGGCATCCCACCAAATCACCAGCTTTACTCAGATTGACCAGCTTGGCAGCAGCCTTTGTGAGAATCCTTCAGCCACATTGCCTCCCTGCTCCCAGCCCCACGTGTGTACTCCCTCCTCCCCCACGGAAGAAATGCTTAGGAGGGGCCGTGGGAGTGCGAGATTTCCTTTCAGGGATTCCTCTGCCTTGCCTGCCTCCAGCCTCTCTCCAGAGAGCAACATTGGTTTCCCTGGAAACCTCTCAAAGCCCTTGCTCTGATGGCAGTGGGGACCCCCTCATGGAGCAGAGCCGGCCTAGTGGGGAGCTGCCTCTTAGAGTCATCCCCTCTTTTCTTCAGCTGGGGGCACATTGGCACTTATTGGGGCCTTCACTCATACTTAGGGAAATGTTTTCAGAGTAATCAGCATTGTCGAGGAGAGGCAAGGAGACAGCGCGGTTAGATGTATTGGTTATGGAGAGGCAAGGAGCCAGGGCAGTTAGGTGTACTGGTTATGGGGTTTTATCGATGTGGAAGATGGGTCTAAGAGCTCTCAGGTCTGTGCGGTCTCTGGACACAGAGGAGGCTCACACTCAAATCTTATGCATATTTGGGTCCTTCATGGAGCTTGTCGCACTAAATAAGACCCAGCTGAGGTTTATCAGAGGGCCTGGCATATGTACCTGGTTTTTGTTTTCTCTTTGGACCTCAGGTACAGCAAGTAGAGCTATGAAGTTAAATGTTCAACAAATCCAAGGACCTCTGCTGTGCCAGGCACTGTGGGTGCTCAGCAGGCAGCAGGCGACAAAGCAGGGGCTCTGTCTGCAGAGCTTCCCTCTCTGGTGTGAGGGAGAGATGACACATAAACCAGTGGAGTGTAAGATGTCAGCGATGGTGAGAGGAGACAGGGTGGTAGGTATTGCTGTTTTAGACAGGAGGTGTCAGGAGCTGACTTTTGAGCGGAGACTCTGAGAACAACTGCTGGAGGGCATGGCAGGCCAAGGACCCCTGCAGGGGTAAGGCCACAGATGGCAGCGTGTGGGCGAGGTTGAAGAACAGCAAGGAAGCCTTTTGGCCAGAGCAGAGCGAGCCAGGTAGAAATGGTAAAGTGAGCAAGAGACGGGTGGAAACAAATCATGTAGGGCCTCAGAGTCCATGGTAGGGGACTGGACTTTGTTCACGTGGGGGAAGGGGGGCGCGGAGAAGCCAGTAGAAGGTTTGGATTGGAGGACTGACATGAAGCTAATTATTTGGATGCTCTGTCAAGAGGTCTGTAGGCAGCAAGAGTAGAAGCAGAAATGTCAAGAAAGTCTAGTGGTGGCTGAGGCTGAGGTAGGTGGCCTGGATTGCCACGATGGTGATGGAGGTGATGGGAAGGGGTCATATCTGGGAAATGTTGGGAGAGCCAAGCAGGCAGGATTAAGTGATGGGTTGGATGGGGAGTGTGAGAGGGAGAGGAGTGGAATGCTCTTCTGTTCGTGGCAAGCCCACCAATGAACGTGGTACAAGGCCACGCTCATTGCATTTCATTTTGTTCATCCTCTTCCTCTTCATAGCCAGTCTCCATTCCCATTCTCTTCTTATTGGCAGCCATTCCAATGCATTTACTATATGTCCTCGTGTGCATGCACAATGGAAGAATAAATAGTCGTATTTTCTGTGCATGTATATTTTAAGCTTATCTAAATACATCTATTCTGTTTTTTATTTTTTCCCCCCACCTCCTGGTATAGTGTTATGTCTGGCCAGGTTGCTGATCACTGATAGTATTCCACAGTGGGCATCTTCAGTATTACTTATCCATTTGCCTAGTGGTGAACACCCAAGTGACCACCAACTCCTGGCTGCCAGACATGGTACTTTAGTGCAGGATGTCTCCTCCAGGTCTGTGTGAGATTGGGAGATGTGATGTTAGAAATGAGATTGCTGGCCCCAGGGTATGCATATACTTAGTATCAGCAAGTGAAGGTGAGAGCTTTCCAGAACAGTCATGCCACTTGGTGCCTGTGGGCTCCACATTCAGTGGGTACTGATTTTCTGAATTTTGCAAACCAGATGGTTGGATCTCATATGGTTTTAATTTGCATTTCTCTGATTATTAAGTTTCCCCCACTGTGAACTGCCAGTTTATATCTTTGGCTTAGTTTTCTGTTGTGTTTTTAGAAAAGTCTTTTTTTTTTCTTCTTTCTTTTTTTAATGGCTGCAGGAATCCATTTTATGTTCTGACCTGCCTAGTGTAGTACAGTAGCCACTAGCCACATGTGGCAATTAAAATTAATCAAAATTAAATGAAATAAAAAATCAGCTCCTTGATTGCACTGCCCACATTTCATTGCTCACTATTCACACCTGGTGAGTGGCTGCCATGTTGGATAGCATAGATATGGGACATTTCCATCTTCACAGAAAGGTCGGTTGGACAGTGCTGATCTAGATGTCAGTGTTTTTCTTCTCTCTGTTAACTGTGTTTCACTTGTTCATTGTTGAACAGTTTTGATGTAACCAAATCCATCCATTCCTCTCCTGAATGTGTGTTTCGGGTTTTGCTGAAGACCTTCTTTACCTCTCAAGTCACAAGAGATAGTTTCATACATTCCCCCCAATAGCTTTCACACTTATAGCTTAACCCATCTGGAGCTTCACTTTGTGTATTGTGTATGGTGTGAGGTTGGGGTTTACATTTATTTTTCTCCCTATAAGGAATTAGTTTTCCCCACATTACCTGTGTTTTAGTCCCCCCCCCGAATGGATTCTAACAATTAGCAAGACATATGACTATTTTATTTATCACTCAAGATGTTTGGTTTATTTTTAAGATAAAAAGTTATGTTCTGAGTATTCAGAGAAGAAAATTGTATTCCATCTTAGATAAAAGATGCCGCCTATTTCTATAAGCGAAGCCAGTGCTACCAAGATGCTTTCAGATGCTTTGAGCAGATTCAGGAATTTGATCTAGCACTTAAAATGTACTGTCAAGAGGAGCTCTATGAAGAAGCTGCTGTTGCAGTGGAAAAGTAGGTGGTTTTATTCTCTCCCTCCCCTACCCCTGCTTCCTGGGGCAGCCTTCCCTGGGTGATGTCACCCTGTTCTTCCATAATGGCTTGACCATGTCACCCTTCTTCCACTTGAGTGGTGGTCTCAGTGCTGGGTCAAGAGCTTCTTGAGAACAGGACTCTGTGTTCTCCATGCTCTTTATAAGCTTTGACACAGGGTCATGAAGGGAAGGGGCTGAAGAAGAGGTTGTATATAAAATGTGTATATAAAATGCACAGCAATTTTGTGCTTAGTGACGGTTCTGTCCTCTCACCTTTACCTGCTGAGATGACAATTTCACTGGTGTGTGGCTAGATAAAGGTAAGAGCACTAGTGGCAAGTTAGGATTTTGCTTCATTGTGATCTACTGGTAGATGCTCAGCTATGTATTTATAAATATGTATATGATAGGTATGTGCACATACCCTCAGTTTTAAGATACATAGGTTTCATACATGACCCAATGGAGGCCTCCTGAGCCTTTAGCCTATTTGCTATTCCAAAGGGGAAGAGGAAATGGGTGGGTTTAAAGCTTGACAAGGAATCTAGAAACAGCATGTGGTTGAAGTGGTTGAGGCCCCCAAGAGATCTCCCTCGTGGTATTAGAATCTGTTATTCTGCATTTCTGCTCAGCAGGGGTTTGAATCCCCTCTCGGCTCCTGGAAAAGTAGGCTACATACTACATGTGGCAGTTTTACTTAAGTTGCCCTGTGCTGTATTTTGGAGGAAGTTTTCTATCGGTGCATGACCATGAGTTATGATTTGGGTCATCTTTCCCTGTAGGTATGAAGCAATGCTAAGGAGCAAGACCCTTCCCGTATCCAAGCTCTCCTATTCAGCCAGTCAGTTTTACTTAGAAGCTGCAGCAAAGTACCTGAGTGCAAATAAGATCAAGGAGATGATGGCTGTCCTCTCGAAGCTGGACGTGGACGACCAGCTGGTGTTCCTGAAGTCTCGGAAACGGCTCGCAGAGGCCGCAGACCTGCTGAACAGGGAAGGCCGGAGAGAAGAGGCTGCCATGCTGATGAAGCAACACGGCTTCCTGCTGGAGGCCGCCAAGCTCACTGCCGACAAGGACTTCCAGGCCTCGTGTCTGCTGGAGGCTGCCCGCCTCAATGTGGCTAGGGACTCGGATGTAGAACATACCAAGGCCATTTTGAGAGAAGCCCTGGATCTCTGCTATCAAACCAATCAGCTGTTCGGCATTGCTGAGGCCCAGTTCCTGCTGGGGGTGATCCTGAAAGACTTTCAGAATCTCAAGGATGCCTTCTTCAAGTTCGACACTCTCAACCACTCGGCTGGCGTGGTGGAAGCGCTCTACGAAGCCACCAGCCACTGTGAGGCTGACCCTCAGAAGGTTCTGGCCTTGGCTCCAGGGGGCTTGGAAGTCCTCCTCAATCTGGTCAGGGCCCTCAAAAGAGTGACCAACAACGCAGAGAAGGATATGGTCAAGTTTTGCTTTGAGTTTTTTGGGATTTCTCAAGTGGATGCCAAGTATTGCCAGATAGCTCAGAATGACCCTGGACCCATATTAAAAATAATTTTTGACCTGGATTTAAACTTGAAAGAGAAGAAAACAAAAGATCATTTCTTGATAATGACTGACCAAGTGAAACTGGCCCTAAACAAACACCTCTTTAGCAGGCTGTGTCAGATCACGCAGAGCCTGCTGAGGAAGACCTACCCGGGCATCTGCCTGCGGTTCATTGTTGGCTTAAAATGTGAGGATGGAAACTGTGAAGATTACCACAGGCCTCTGCGGCGTTGTGAGGCCAAGTGTTTGGTTCAGTCGAAAATGCACCAGGTGGCCATCAACGGGCTGCTTTTGGAAGCCAAGAAAGTATTCCCTAAAAGCTTAGCTGAAGAACTTGAACAGATCGATTATATTCTGTCTGCAGATAAGTATGGCCATTGCAAATCCTTCCTGAGTGTAGTCTTCCCTAAACATTTCCATCAGCGAGTGTTGTCCGAAAACCCCATGGCGTGCAAAGAGATCCTCAAACCCAATTACAAGTCCTTCCGGTCCTACAGGTTTGCTCTGAAGGAGTACATCTACTTCCTGTTTCAAAACGAACGGGCGCGCAGCCGCCGGGAGTCCACCGACCTGTGGCTGAGCGCCATGCAGGCCTTCCTGCTCTCGTCCAGCTACCCCGAGGAGTTCGGGAAGCTGCTCCACCAGGAGGAAGACAACTACCACCGGGAGCTCAAAGCTCTAGCGTTGGAGAAAGAGGAACGGGGCCGGGGCCGAGGCAGCAGGATGAAAGGGATAGAGGGGAAGTTCGGCATGCTGGCACCCAACAAGGATGACGAGAGCACCGAGAAGACCCACCTGTGCTTCATCCGGCTGCTGGAGAATTGCATCGACCAGCTCTACGTGTATAGGAACCCAGAAAACTACAAGAGGCTCTTTTTCCGTTTCATGAACGTCCTGGTCAAGAGGTGCAAAGAGCCGCTCATCCCCAGCATTGGGAACACGGTGGCCCTGTTGGAGTTCCAGTTCGTCCACTGCGGGGTGGTCCTGGCCCGCCTCCGGAAGAGCGCCATCCTGTGCCTCCCCAAAAGCTACATCGCGCTCTTGCACTACTGGGAGTTTCTGTTCAGCAAGAGGGACAAGGAGTTCGGGGACGTGTTCTCCATCATTCAGGACTACAAACCGAAGGATGTGACGAGAGCCATTCAGGATTTCCGGTTCCACCTCTCCTACCTCGTCAAGGTGCTGTGCGGCTACGAGAATGTGAACTTCAACGTCCTGCTCGATGCCTTCAGTGACATTGACTGTGTGGTCTCCGGGGAGGCGGAGCGGACCCTGGTGCTGTGCTTGGTGATGCTGGTGAATGCCGAGGTGGTCCTGCAGCCGTTCTGCAAGTCGCTCCTGTACCGCCACTTCCAGGAGATCGAGAAGAGGCTGCAGCTGATGAGCGTCGACTACCCAGACCAGGTGCCTGAGAGGCTCCGGGACGTGGTGAAGCGGGTGCTGATGGCGGCCGATGTGAAGTCAGTGGCCGAGGCGCTGCAGGACCTGCTCTTTGAGCGCGATGAAGAGTACCTGATGGACTGCCACTGGCGATGGGACAGCGGGCACACCAAAGGGGTCACGGTCCGCGGCCTCTATCACGAGGAGGTCAAACTAAACCGCCTGCTCTGCGTGGACCCCGTGGGCTACTTTGCCGAACCAGAGTGTGAGTTTGGTCAGGATGAGACGGATGAGCTGGCCTTGGAAGACCGAGACCACCTCCTGGCCACCATCCTGTCCCAGAAGCAGCGGAAGGCTTCCATCCAGCGGAAGTTGAGGAGAGCATGCCTGGTGGTGGCCCTGTGCATCAGCTGGAAGAGGAGGGTGAGTGCCCAGATGGGGTGTCCCAGGGAGGAGACCAGGGAGCCTGGGACCGGGATCTTCAAAAAAGCCGACGTCGACAGGACCCAGTGCGACCTGTGCGGGGTGAAGTTCACCCGAAGTCCTGAGAACTATTTCAGCCCCAGTAAAGCCTTTGAGGGAGAGACTTCAGAGGCGGTGGCCCTCTCCGAGGCTGAGCTGGGTGACAAGGAAGGTCGGGAGAGGAACAGCGAGTCTTATGAGCATCACATCCACCTAGAAGGCCACCAGAGGCAGCAAATGGCCTACCAGAAATACTCTGAATTTTTTCATGAGAAGGTGGACCCGGCCATTGACGAAGGCAAGCTGGTGGTGCAGGACATCGAGCAGAGCGTGTGGATTCGTAGTCACCTGGGCTCCAAGGAGCACAGCCTCATGCTGCAGAGGAAGGTCCAGGAGAACATCAGGAAGGTTTCAGACGCGGTGGAGGATCTCTACAGGCAGAAGGCCTGGGCTGGCGGTAAGGGGCCCTCGGGAATGGGGGCCCAGGCGGTGGTAGAACCTGGGCTTTGAGAACACGGGTCAGAATCAAGCCCTTTGTGTTGAGGTCTGACCTGGGGTCATGGAACTTGGCGTTTGCAGAAATACAAGTAAGGACTGTGTGTTCTCAAATTAGAACCAGGCACCATGGTTTGGACCACCCTTTCCCCAATGAAAAACTTCCTGATTATCTTGGGCTGGGCTGGTTCCCCTAGCCTTACAGACAAGAATAGGGCTTGCTGCCTAGTTCTACGGAGATAATATAGGGAGAATGTTTAAAGTCTTGAGGAAACTCTTTAAGCTTCTGATTCATTCATTCATGATCATTTCTTGAGCTCCCACTCTGTGCTAAGATCTGTAGGTGCGTAGCTGGTCTCTTCCCTTTAGGAGGGTCCTTAAGCCATACCCAGTGTGAGCCCTTAATGATAAGAATGCTAATGGGTCTTTGAATCAGATTTCCTCTAACTTCCTCATTAGCTACTTAGCAACACAGAGTGGAAGTTATGTTCCGTACAAAGTGAGTGAAATTGATTATTTCAGAATCATTCCATAATTCAGACACTGCAGTTTAAGGTGTAACAGACACACAGGAATGGTGCCGGGCTAGCATATAATCGCAGTTTATGCTGCTGGTGGCAGAAGGGGGCCGTGGGGCCTTGCCTGCCGTTTTCCTCGGGGGAAGCACAGAGACAAGCTCTGGGAAGGCGGGGGCTTTGGCTCTAGTTCTGGGTGTTTGAGGCCCTATGGCAGCCCCTTCACTCAGAGCCCTTGTTCTTTGGTTCCCACAGCGAAGGAGGTGATGACTCGACTGGTCAATGTTCTGATCCCGTCAGTCAAGGATGCGAGGGAGTGGCTGAAGAAAACAGAGCTGCACCTGAAGGAGGAAGGTAAGGAGCCCTTTGTCTTAGGACCGTGCTCTGGGTCCCATGGTTCTTGGTTCTGCTGACGTTCAGGTCAGGCTGACGTGGGGCTGTCTAGGACATCAGCATTGACCACTGTCTGTCTAGCACCACTGCCCCGCTGAGTGAGATTATTTGTCACACAGTATCTGAGCTTCTCCACCAGACTGAGGGTTATTCTGGGTTTATGTTAGTTGTTTTTTCAAAAGAATCTTTTGCCACTCGAGCTGTTATCAATGCTGGTCGGTCACTACTCATACTCAGAACAGTGACTCCCAAGGATGCACAAAGCATTGCAAAGCCATTCCTTGATAAACATGTTTGCATATAAGTTAATGATTATTAATGTGTGTTTAGTGTGTGTCAGTGCTGTCCTGGGCTTGGGATAGAAAACAAACAGAATCATTGGGGCAGCTTGCAATTGTCTTCCCACAGAACATTGAAGGCTGTGTCGGATGAGTCAGACTTCTCTCCCGACAGAATCATCTTGCCAAGTTCTATTTGATCTGGAAAGTCTTCTCTCTTGCCCATTCCAACTGCTGCCCCCTCCCCACCCGCCCACATTTCTTCTTGCTCTGAGTATTTTGCCCGGCCCAGGTGGCCCTTCTTTGAGTCCTTTTAATCCAGACGCTACTGGAAATTGCAGCCTCCAGAGCTGGGGGGAACTGGAGGGCCGTTGGCACAAATGTCTATGCCAACAAAAAAAATCTGGGACTATTATTTCAAGATGGAGGTAACTGATGTATCAACTCTAGTCTGTGGTTGAGTTTGGGTTTTGTTTGATTTCTTTCATTTAAAGGGCCTCTAAAAGAAGGCCAAAGGAGCCAGCCTGTAAGAGAACTTAATTCCAGAGACGAGGGCTTCCCTTGGCTTTGGCTCATCCTGGGAAGCAGCATCCGTGCTCAGATACATCCTCACTTTCTGTCACCCTGGTGGGAGACCTTTTCCCCTTTAATTTAAAACAATTACAGAAACACGAGGTTTTACTAGGGTGTTATGTTTTGCAGTGGAGTGGGGAAAAATCACCATTCTGCACATTGTTTCTTTCTTTTTTTTTGGTTTTGTTTGCTTTTTAAATAGGAATCGTTCAGGAAGATGAATATGAAAATGAAATTGAGGACTTTGGTGAGCTCCGTCCTAGAAGGCGTTCACGGAAATGTGGAAAGCAGAGAAAATACTAGGATCCACACAGCTGCTGCTGCCTAACCTTCAGAACATTCCGTCCGGACTTAGAATTCTGAGTGCTGGGGCAGAAGAGAAAAGAATGTCAATTAGCATAAAAAAGTAGGGGAGTCTAGCAACCTCTTTGCTTTGTGATATTGCTCCTTCCAAGGTGGCTTAGGGTCTGACTGCTCCCTCCGAGCGGGACCTCTAGTGCTTTCCCAGTTCAGGCCTAGCAGTATTAGCTCCCCTAAAACTCGTCAGATGAGAGGAGCCATCACTGAAGGGAACCTTGGGACTCCTCCCCCAAATCCCCAAGTTCTCTGGCTCAAAACCATCACGACATGAGTCAGTAGGAGGGACACCCCTCACCTCAGAGTTGCCGCTTCCCTGGGCCGGGACATCCCTCCAGGGATTCCCTCATCCCCTTCCACACGCTGCAACCAGGGCTGTGCGTGCCCAGGTCTGTGTGGGCCCTGCCACCGGCCTCTCCTGACCCCAATCCAGTCTGGTCATCTCCGGGCCTACTTGTAGCATAGTTTGTTTCGTCATATAGGTTAGCCTTTTCTCTGTGGCAACTTTTCTGCCCCCCCTCCCCTGCCATGCCCAGCTACATGTGCAAGTCATGGTTAGACTACCTCACAATGTAGTCAAGAATCCCCCCATGTCCTTTGGGCGGCCAGGATGGGGATGATGCTGAGGGCCTTCCAGCCTGCCTCGCCAAGGTGGCCCTCACTTCGCCTCGGCTGTGGGGTGACATCTCTAAAAGTGTTTTGTGTGTAGCCGTGTATGTCGTTTCCTTGGTTCTTCCTGGCAGCTTGTCATTCTAGCTCAGGTTGATATTCTGATGAGTTTTCTCCCACTGAGCTCACCACGTGGGACAGGGGCGGCCTGCAGCGATGCAGGTTAGGAAGGTGGACAGAGTAGTAGGCCGGTCGTACAGTGCCAATCCATAGGGACTCAGCTGTGAATCACTGCCCACGGCTGGGAGGCCCATAAGAGGAGGGGGTGGCGTTGGTGTGCAGGAGGCATTGCTCCCCCCACCCCGCTGGGCCAGCGGCCGTCAATAGGGTTCCATTCTGGAGGCCTTGGTGCCTCTCTCGAGATCACTGCCCGCCGCTTCCCCAGCCCCTCAGCTGGGCTTGGAGCGGAAGGTCAGGCTCCCCCTCGGCCCTTCATTGTTTTGTCATCACAACGGAACCGACTTTCCACCCACGTCGTCGCTGCTGCTTTTGCTGCTCATTGTTGTCACTGTCTTTCTAAATGACTATTTCCTCAAAATGTTTATGTTTCTAACTTTTATTAGTTATGTTTCTAATTTTTATTCTAGGTGTTTTTTATAAACTTCACTTGCCAGATAAACAACCCCAATCAAATCTTGCTGTATTATCACATTTTATAAAGTTAAATCATTTCTCTTATATGCTGCCGTCCATTTGTTTATTTCCAGTCCCTGCGCAGAGAGTGAAGGGGTCAGTCTTGGGCTGGTTCTTTCTGGTAGCTGGTTGATGTGGGCCAGAGCTTGCTGTGCCTCCCAAAACTAAGGCAGGGACAGACAAAGCACAGCCCGGCACTCGCAGCTGGTCGCAGTGTCCCTTGAGGGCCTGCCTGTGCAAATTCTTTCCCATTTGGATGCTCTGAGCATGCAGGTGTGGACAGTTTGGTCAGTGCTGTCTATTGGGACCACCCCCTAACATTGCCCTGGGAGGCAGGGGACCTGGAGTCGAGTCCTTGTCCTGCCCCTAATGAGCCAGTAACCTGGGATGAGTCAGATCCATGAACACCACCCTGGGGTGGGGGCGAGAGATGGAGATGGGGAAGCAGCGTGATGGACATGTGGGCCGCCTGGGGGCATAGCCAACTGGCCCCAGTTTCCCCCTTTTGGAAATGAATGGTCTAAGGCTTGAATACCCTCAGGTCTTGGTTGTGTGATCCCAGTGTTTGCTTGTGTTGGGTGAGCAGGACAGCTGAGTCTAAGGAAGCAAAGTGTCCTCTGGTCCTATGCCTCAGGGTCCCAGAGGCTCAGGTCTGGGAGAGATGGTGCTGCTCCTTCTATGTCAGCACCTTCTAAAACAGCCGCCTGGAGAGAACTCCCAGGGAGCCATGTCCTCAGCTCGCCTGGCCCTTAGAGTGTGGGTGTGGGACTGTGGGGCGGAGAATCAGTAATTCCCATCCATGACCCAGTCCTGAGGCCCAGTCCAGTAGCAGGCACTTTGGTGCCCGGGCCTTGCCTGGAAGTCCAGGATGGGGGTGTGTGTCAAGGGTCCCCAAGACCCTGTCAGTCTGCCTTTGGAAGGAAAGGGCTCCAGCTGTTTTCCTGGCCCCGGGGCGGGGGGGGGGGGGTGTCCTAGTGCCCTAGTACCCTGAGGGATCCTAGGACCCACCCATGGAAACATCCATTTGTCATCTTAGCCACGTCCCCTCGGGACCCTGACATCTTGCTGGCGGGCAAGGGCTTTGCCAGCAGTGGAAGACTTGGTTGCCAGGGCAACTGGCAGGAGGTATTACTCTGACTAATGTTACAGGGTTCTCTCTGCTCAGCTCCTGGGTCTGGTTCCTCTGGGACACTGGCAGCCAACACTGCCAGCTGTCACATAAGGACAGTCTGCCCCTAACATTTGTGGGGCCTGGGGTGTGAAAACAAGAGGCCTCTCTCCCATCCCTTCTCTTCCCACCCACCCTTTGCTTCATCCTCACCGTGAAGGACTTCCCTTCTGTGAGTGTGGACATTCCAGCTTCACTGCAAGCTCATCATGTATCCGCACCCCCCTCCCCAAACAGCCAGCCTTGGCCACCCCTGCACCCAGCACATCAGCAGGGAAGAGGCTCAGGAATATTGGGGGGGAGGGGGTTCTGGGTACTGGATTGCAATCTGCAGGGGGCTGTGGATATGTCCTGTTTTTGCACATTTGGGGCACAGTATTTAGCTAATGACACAGCATTATGCCATTTTTCTTGGCCATTTTTCCTCCTGTGTCTCTCCTTCAGGATCCTTGCAGGACAGGGTTCCAACGTTCATAGATTCTCCAGCCATGATAACCATCTTAATCTTCTCAATGCCTAGCTTAGCGTGCACTCGCTCTCCTCCTGGCCTTCTCCTGCAGGCCGATCCAGGGTATAGGATGCCTCCAATGTGTTCCTGGGTCAATGTCATGTAATTGCCAGAAACCTGTGTCCCTGGGGTCATCCTTAAGTATGTGACCCAGAGGATGGGAGCCATCTCCCTACCCAGCAAGCACCCTAAGGGCACAGAGGTTAAAGTTCATTCTTCTCGCAGCCGAGACACAGGCCTGCCCACAGCTGCAGACAGTTGCTCCCCACTCCTCCCCACCTGCTCCCCGAGCGGGAGGGAGAAGACATCAGCCAGGTAGCAGGCATTGCTTAGGTGGGTTGTTTAGAAACCTGTCTCTGGCTGCTGCTGAATTCTAACCCCGTTCAGAATTCTGTGTTCTCTGCTTAAAGCCCCTGATCTTACCCTCCTCCGTGGTGATGGGACCTGAAATCTAATGGGACCTTCTTGTGGGATGGGTTGCCCTGAGGACACAGTACTTTCATCACACTATCTTTGAAGTGAGCCATAAGGTTGAAATTTAGCTTCTCACACTGGGAATTTAGATATATTTTTTACAGTCTCTGAAAAACAATACAAATGAGCAAACAAAACAGAAACAAGCCCATAGATGCAGAGAAGATTTTGATGGGTGCCGGATGGGAGGGGAGTTAGGGGAATGGATGAAAAAGGGGGTGGACAAATTGCCAGTTATGAAAACAGTCACCAGTATGTAAAGTACAGCATCGGGAATATAGTCAATAATATTGTAATAGCTTTGTATGGTGTCAGAAGGGGGGATCACTTCGTAAGTTATATAAATGTCTAATCACTGTGCTGTACACCTGAAACTAATATGATAGTGTATGTCAACTGTTATATTGAAATCTTTTTATAAATCTTTATTGTTGAAAGTATTACACATGTCCCCTTTTTCCCTCATTGACCTCTTCTATCCCACCCCCACCCTCCGCCCCAGGCCCTCACCACCCTATTGTCTGTGTCCATGGGATATGCATATATATATATATACACATACAAGTTCTTTGGTTGATCTCTTCCCACCCACCCACCCTTCCCCCTCTTCCCTCTGAGATTCCACAGTCTGTTCCATGCTTCTATGTCTCTGGATCTATTTTGTTCATCAGTTTATTTTGTTCATTAGGTTCCACATATGAGTGAGATAATGTGATACTTGTCTGAAATATTTTTAAAAATGAAAAAAACAAAACACAATGAAGAAGAGGCTGTTCACATGCAATCTTGACTTAGGTGTTGGAAGTGGACAACAGGGAAAGAAGTCCCTGAGCCCGTTTGGGGATTTATAAAATGGAAATAGAGACAAGCTTGTAGCTTGGCTGTGATATCATCACTCTCCCTCCCCTTCCTGTCTTCCCCAGACGGACCACGGATGGGACAGGAGCGCAGGCAGGGCTCTGCTTCCAGGGCAGGCGGCGGTGGTCACGAGCGATGACGAGCCTGGGGACGAAGCTGGGTCAGCTTCTGGTGCCCTTTATGGAGGTGGGGACATTCCCAAGAGGGCTTTGTTCCCAGGGACCCAACCTTCTTTCAGAGACTGAGACTATTTTTAACCCGAGTTTTTGTGATTCTGCAGGACAGCTGTTTCAGGGAAATATGTAGGCCAGTCTGTGATATTTGGAGTCATCGTTTTAAGGTTAAGGAGTGGGATGGGGGAAGAGAGTGAGAATAATTGTGGATTTCCGGAGGCGGTGTCACGGAGTTCTACAACTGCAACTCCAAGTTACTTCGAGGCCGCTTTTGAGGGTCTGGAGGGGCTGAGCACATGAACATCTTTTTGTTTCCCTGCAAGTTGAGGGTCAATTTCTGCCCTCTCTCAGTCCCCATTTGCTATTTCCAAATCGTGATGCCGACAAGATTGACAATGCCAGGGTCGGAGCGCCGGGAGAAGGGCGCCCTCACAGTGCAGTGGGAGCAAACTCCTTACTGCCTTTCCCAAGGCTACTCGAATTAAAAAAGAGACTCACCTTTGGATTTAGCATTCCCACCTTTTTGTTTATTATTTTTTTAAATTGTGGTAAAATAGTGGTAAAATACACATACAATTTAGTTTCTTAATCACTTAAAAATATTTTTATTAATTTCAGAGAGGAAGGGAGGAGAGAGAGAGAGAGAGAGAGAGAGAGAGAAACATCAATGATGAGAGAATCACTGATTGGCTGCCTCCTGCATTCCTGCATGCCCCCTACTGGGGATTGAGCCCAAAACCCGGGCATGTGCCCTTGACCAGAATCAAACCTGGGACCTTTCAGTCCCCAGGCCAACGCTCTATCCACTGAGCCAAACCGGCTAGAGCAACTTAGCCATTTTTTGCACATACAGCTGAGTGGAGTTGAGTACATTCATGTTGTTTGTTGCGCGATTGACCTCCAGAACTATTTTTTATCATACAGAATGGAAACTCTGTCCCCATTGGACATCTCCCATCTGTCCTGTCCTCAGTCCTTGGCCACCACCATTCTACTTTCTGTCGCTGTGATTTTGACTACTCTGGATGCCTTATATAAGTGGATTCATATGGTATTTGTATGTTTGCAACTAGCTTATTTCATAAAGACTAATGTCCTCAAGGTTCACCCATGTTGTGACATGAGGCAGAATTTCCTTCCTTTTTAAGGCTGAATAATGTTCCATTGTATGTATATTACTAGCACCCCTACTTTTAGGGATTTATATTAGAGAGACAGCCCTACAAATGCCCAAGTAAATGTTCACTGCAGAAGTGTCTGGGAGAGTCCAAAGTTGGGGACAAGTCAAGCATTCAGCAGGGGCATGGCTCAATATCATGACTGTGCTCTAGGGTTCAGAAAGACCATGTGTCCATATGCAATAGGGCAAAGGTCAATTTCTCACTGAAAACTCAAGCTAAGGAGGAGGCTCTAAGGTTCAAGTCACTTTTGTAAAGTTAAAAAAGTAATTACAAATTGTTGGAGGTAATGACCTTGAGTACTCTGTAAAACTTGGACTTTTAAAAATAGTTTGGAGTATCCTGGCTGGTGTGGCTCAGTGGTTGAGCATGGACTTATGAACCAGGAGGTCACGGTTCCATTCCAGTTAGGGCACATGCCCAGGTTGCAGGCTTGATCCCCAGTGGGGGGTGGGCAGATGGCAGGCAATCAGTGATTCTCTTTCATCATTGATGTTTTTTTGTTTTTTTTTAATATATTTTTATTGACTTTTTTTTACAGAGAGGAAGGGAGAGAGATAGAGAGCTAGAAACATCAATGAGAGAAACATCGATCAGCTGCCTCCTGCACAACTCCCACTGGGGATGTGCCCGCAACCAAGGTACATGCCCTTGACCGGAATCGAACCCGGGGCCCTTCAGTCCGC